CATTCCTGGTAGGCCTGTACATACGGCTACGGAGGTTGGCCATTGGCTGAGAGCTTCATACAAGAAAAAATTATTCTGGCTTGATTCTAATGCACGCGGCATGCACGTTAACCGTGGCTTCTAGACGATTTGTCATCAACGTACGTTAGGCCTGCAGGCAGTCACTCGACTTTTCAATTGCTTTCCCAAGCTTTGAGAATCTTGGCTAGTTCGCCTTTCTTTCTGCTGTCAATTTTTCTGTGCCCAGGCAGTTTACTTCGAGAACCACGGTGACGGCTGTTGGATTCATGCCGCTTCCCACATAGCTTATGTCGCATCCTAATCCTCCTCATGCCAGAGGACTTTTGCCATTGACGGTCGCTTCTACGTGCTCATGTGAGACTTCACTAAGCGAGACATTGTTCGATCTGAAAATGTTCACGACCTAGACTCACCAGACCTTCTAGTCTGCATGCCTGGTCAGCTGTCATTGTGATTTCGGGTAGAGAGATGTCATCCTCACGCTGCAATATTCGTCTTCCATGTGGACTTTTCGATGTGCCACGATTGGTTTTTAAACGTGCCTTTGGAACAGGACAGGGTCACTATAACATGGCAGGTGGCAATGTGATGTGGTCACACTGCAGTCCGAGCGCTGTTAATATCCAGGTCTATCCATACATGGACTAGAACTAATTTTTCGGCTTCGGCGCCGATGATTACGAGGAACACCGCCCCTGGCCGCCAGCCTCGTTGTTGTCTCGTGTCAATCAAGCCAACATTGTCAATCAGTTTCAAATTACTGCAGTATTTTTGGCTGATGTAAGCTGCCTATGTATCCAGCACGGATGCGTGTTACAGCCTTTCACAAAATACTAGGTCGAGTCCAAAATTAAAACAAGACAACGTCGCTATGTCCGATCAGATACCCCTATGTTCTTTTTGGGACTGGCCTTTCTGCAAAAGTTCATTACATACAGGGATCGTAATACACCATAAGCTCTCGGCTCGTGGTCTTGGCCTCCAGCACTCCCGTGACTAACGCGTGAAACTCAGTGGGTGTGTCTGCCGTGAGGTCACCTTTCCAAGCCAGCAAACTCACTGACCTTCTTCGGTCCTCGGTACGTCCGCACTCGTGTCAGCGGTAGGTAGTGACACGTATTGTCCCTGGTTCACACTTGCAGATCAACCAGATGCTATATATATTCAAAGTTTAGAATACAAAAATACTCGAATCAAGACCGCCAATATGCAGTAGTGCTCATGCGCGAGTGGCCATCTTTCTAGAAAGGGTCCTCAGCCGCTCAGCATTGACTTTCCTCCGCACCGTATCAGTATCCACACTCGGGTTACCCTTCATCACGCTCGCACTGGTTCTCGGCGCAACCGTGTACGTGCCAATTTCTTTTTGCGGGATCATAACAGCGTTCTTCCGGATCCGGTTCTTTTCTCCCTCCTTTGCACGTGCTAAAATAGCGTTGAGACGTTCGTTTGTGCGCTCCGTACCATCCTCCTCTGCCATGGGAACAACACGATCACGGTATGAGGCGCTACGCTTGATAATAGGGCGTGACCAGGTGGATACGAGTTCGTTAGCGATGCGCTGTACATCAGATGTGACACGTTTGCATTTGGTGTAAAACAACACAACCCGTCCCAGGCCAGATTCTTTGAGCACGGCACTGTCGATAAATTCCATGCGTTTTAAAATGGGGAAAAAGTCACGCTGGATATTAAGCGCCGGTAGAGAGCGGTCTGGGAGCGGCTCCAGCCAGCGACGGACACCTTCCAAAAGATTGTTGTCCATTATAGACTGTGAGAGTGATTGTCTGGGGGATATTATTAGCGCTCGGGTCAAACAAAAAAGGATAGCTGCGCACTTGCGAAGCACCTCCATTACTTGAGGAAGGAGTTTCAATTTGTTGGTTGCGGGCAGCTTATCGCGGTTAGCTTGTTCGTCATCAGCTGCGGCACCAAGCATGGCCTCCCTCAGACGTGATACTTCCTCGTCTGCGAACCGATCCAAAATCTCTTCGTCATCTTTTTTCGGTTTCTTCTGTCGATTTGCCTTTTTGGGCTTAAGTATGGCATCGAACTGCATATCTAGCCGAAGTTTGTTTGCTAGAGAACGGTTAGTCAGGGCCGGTAATTCAATTCAAAGACGAACCTTTCTCAGGAGGAAGTTCGTTAAGGTCTTCCTCGGTGAGTGGTTGTTTTCTCTTGCGCTTCTTCTGCACCCTGCGAGGTTCATCGTCCTCGCGACGTTTGACACGCCGTTTGGTTTTCACATTACGCTCCTGCACGTAAGCATCGCTGGATTCTCCAGATGAGCCGAATGCATCTGCTTCAACGGGACGGCGTTGCTGCTGTCTCTGACGCTGTTGCGGGGCATCTGTGAGAGAATAAAAGGCGTTGAGTTGGAGATAAAGTGAGAATGGATAAAAAGAACATGCCATCTTCCTCTGATGATAGTTCAGAGCCGTCGCCAAAGATGTCGCGCTCGAGATTTTCCCCTTCCTGCTTTTAGTTAGCAGCGCTGACGTACGATTCGTTTGAAATAAAAACCTACTCCTGTTGCTGCTGCTGCTGCTGCTGCTGCTGGTGGCATTAGAGACAATGATGAGCGTAACCACTGACCAGTGAGTGGAGCAAACAACAGTAAAGTGGAGCTACCGGATTACATAATAAATATTATGACAAGGAGGAATTTCATCACGCCCAATTTATTGATACCCAGGATTACATAATATGACAGGGAGGGACCACGCCTAATTTGTTCGTACCCCTTCCAACTTAAAGTGACCATGAATCAGAGTCACTAGGAAATTTAGCGACTGTCGATCCCCCCTACCACTGAACCAAAAAAATATTAATGACCTATGCTCCTTCCCTTCCTTGCCATGGATCCATACGTTGAGCGCACTCCATCGCTCACTAACTCTGATTCTTCAAGATCTAGCACCTCAAGTGATCCCGTTTCCATGGACCCACCAATACTCAACGTCAGAGACAGGCCTCTTCCTTCAATACCCCGTAAATCGTCTCAAAAATCATACCATATACCTTTCCCTACTCCAAGGGAAAGACCTACATACCCAAACGACTCACTGCGCTCGGCTAGAAGGCCGAGCCTCGTTCACGACCGTCCACCGCAGCGCGCTTCATCCTTGGCTAAAACATTGGCCTGGAAGAGAATGCATCGTGCGGCCGTCTATTCCCTCAAGCAACCACATATTCTTGCTCGCTTATTACAATTCATGCAATGGGCTGATTTTTACGTCCTATTATCAACGTGTGCCGATATGAGGCATCTCTGGAATACTCGCGATTTTAGGGATGTCGTACTATCCCATTTTGTCCCAGGCTACAGCTACGCTCTCAGGCATCGTGACCTCTCCAAGTGCCAAGACTTGGATATTTCCCTTCAAGACCTTGACCTCCTGCGTTGGTTTTCTTTTGTTCGGTTGATATCCTGACGTTAACGTTACTGCGCACTTGTTAATTTTAGTTATCTCGCAACGCGTTCCCCCCCATCAATATCCTGTTCACGCACTCAGGAGTCTACCGAGTCTACCGCCCAGCCGAGATTATGACGCAACTATCGCGAAATTAACCCATAAACTCGCCCTTCTCTGTCTCACGCACTCACGTTTCGTACTACTTCTTCAGTCCCTCGTCCACAGTTCTTCTCTTCCCCTACCCATTGATGACGACTCCTATTTTCAATCCCCACGGCTTTCCTCGGTTCCCCCCACACTGCCTCATGGCCTCCGCGAACTCACATTTCCTGCCCCTCTGTCATACGTATCTGAAGCAAAAGCCCCGCCGAGCGCTTATTTATCAGGTACTGAGTCAGATCGGAGGCGGTCCACCCAGTCATCGCATAATCCCATGCCAAGGAGTCGAGACCCTCCAAGACCCAGGACCGCTGCTGACTTCAACCCGTCAATCAATCAACCGAAACAGAGGAAACTTTCCATATTCGGTGGAAAAAATCCTCCGCCCCCTCCACTCTCGGAGCCCCGATCTCTCAAATACTATGATGCCAGATGGCGGCGCACTATCGCTGGCACGCCACCTCAAACGTCTGCGCCACTAGGCACTTACGCGAATAATCGGAATTTTATGTCAGAGGATGACATCAGAAAGTCTGTAATGCGTACCCACCGACGCACAGGATCTAGTGGGATGTCCAGTACCTCATCTTCGGCTAGTGGTAGTCCATCCCCACCAATATCTCGCAGAACGGCGCAAGACTCTCTTGGCCTCTCCACTGGCTCCCCACATGAGCTTTACACGGCAATTTCACGAACTCGGGCGCCGGTGCTGCGCGTATTCGTACCTTGCACAGGCCTCGTCCCTGAAACAATCTCGTTATGCGAACAACAGCTGATCGACAACGGCCTCTGGGAACACCTCTCAACCGGGGATATCGTCTGCAACTTCGGCTTCCTCCCTGTGGCTCCCGAATCGGACGAAACATCATTATCGCAAGAATCCGATAGCGCGCTACGCAAATCATGGCTGCTTTACAACGGTTACGCACTTGTTCCGTTCACCCCTCCTGTGCCTCCGCCCCTTGATGACCCCCTCAGCCTTCCATCACCACTATACTATTCACATATCACGCCTTCCCACGTTCACCCTCTATTTGCATTCGCACCTCCAGGTGGCGGTGGCGTCCCTGAGCTCAACCTAGTACAAACAACAGAACGCGTCCGTTCACCACAGTCCCGCGGAGGATGGGCCGCAGCGAAGAAGTACATGTGGGTCGCGCGTGCACGCGTCGGCATGGGTTTCATTGACGTCGACGATGGAATCGGCGAAGGATGGCGGGGTGAATGGGTCCTCGAGACGGAGGGCACCCGTGAGGGGCGACAAACGCTTGTAGATTGTCTATCAGGGGAAGCAGGTGAGGTTTTTGTGTGGGAGTTTGTGAGGGAAAAGAGTGGCAGCGGGCGAATATGGCTAAAGTGGGTGTTTTTTTGATTGGTTGGATGGATAGGCGTGCTGATTCTATTGTTTTAGACTTGTACGACCGTTACAACCTCCGGGCTCATCAATGGACATTCGTATGTTACAATCTTGAGGACTTTTATTGCTGTGTAGAGAACAGTTTTACTTTTACTGCATTTGCCATTTGCACCATTACTACGTCGGACGCTGCATTAGGATTGACTCTATTTCTACATACTGACTTTTTCACGGCGGTTGGATATTTATCGACTATGTGTAGGGTATATGTAACTGTCATGATCAGCTGTCACAATTCACTGCTGCTTATCTACACGCTCTCAATTTTTCGATGCTGGCATGGTGGAACGTTCTTCAACCAAGGACCCGGTCCGTTCATTACCGCCCGTCTAGAATTGGGACTTCATCAGGTAATTACGGCTTTCTTCTCTACAGACACGATAAGTACGTATCACAAGGGGTGATGCATACTATGATCAATAACAATAGAAGTAATGAATTTTCACGTGTCAAACGAGTGTCACGATGTCCAGGTTCACGAAATGATCCCGCTTGACAGCTCCTTCAGGCGGGGCCACTACGCCAGCTTGTTGCAGGACACTAAACGCGGTTTAGCACGAGGAACAAACTGGAACACAGGAAAATGACACTTACCTCAACGTGTCAGTGATGACGTTCCACGGTATCGTTGAGCAGTCTTCAGGGTACTCCACAGCATCGAGCCACTCCTTCACAAATAAACACACTGTCAACCCTCCTTCGATCAGACCAAAGATAAGATATCACCTTGACGTCTGTTTCAGGATAGCTAAAGGTGTCCATCACAAACTTGACGCTCGGTCCTGCTCGGGCCTCTGCAGACGCAAATGCACGGACGTGGCGCGAGAGATTATTGAGGAACGTGCGTACGGCAACTGGTTCTGCTCGTGTCGGGTGCGCCGCAATGAGCCAGGAGGGCCATGGCGTTGGGACTTGACCGATCTGGATCCGAATTAAAATGAGATTGGTCAGTATAGTAATGTAATACGACTAGTCTCAAACAGCTTACGAAGCGGCACTCCCCCGCGTCGGAAAACGGTTTCGTGGTGAACCATTCCCACATGAAAGCGCTCGTCGTCCCGTCATTCACGGAATTAATGAGGCCGTGGATGTCGTTATTGACTGTGCATCAGCTTTTGTGTTAGACATGCCGAAGGAGGGAGACGATTAGACACGCACCTTGGAACTTGAGCTCACTCGTGGGCCAGCGCTGCTGTAACGCCATGACGTACGCCATTGTCTGACTCCCGCTACGTCATCCCGAAACATGATCGTGATGGAGGCATGTGATTTTGGGTGCGAGGCTCACCTGCCATTTCTTGAAATACCGATCGTGCTACCTTGGAGGTCGGAGATTTGATTGTATGCTGAGGGTTTGTGCCCCGTTATGACCGCCCTGTGATAATGATATGATTATACATCCATTTAGAAATCAATCGGTTGTGAGAAATGGACCCGGGCGCACCAGCGGAGAGGCGACGTGACGTAACTCCCTACGAGCTTATACGCCTCCGATCCCTTTGCGATCCCTGCGATCAAGGGATCTGTGAGAGCTCTGTTTCGGTATTGGACGACAAGATAAGATCAGAAATATTGCTTTTAGAGATCGGGCGAGGCGTACATTGCGATATCGATTTCATCCTTCGTGAGTCGGGAGATCAGCTGACCCGTGCCACCTGTGTTGGATGTTTGCTCCAATACCGTAGGGGATGAGTGAATTGAGGGGCGTACTGGGGCACTCGACAAGCGTAAACGTCGAGCCCTTGTCTTCGGCTTCGAACTGCAAAAGGGGAGAACAGAAGTGTTCTCGGACTAGTAAATTAGGTGTCAGATGTCATTTTCTTCAAGCGATTTGAGTAGACGAGTACCATATCCAATCCTTAGAACCATGATAAGCCTGAGAGCACAAGAGACGCTGAGAAAGTCAGTTCCGACATCTCGTAAAGACTTCGGAACGGTCGGACTTCCAATTTCATATTGGCCCCTGTCACATGCCCCCAGTGCGCAGGCATTGACTTATCGAAATTCATCTTCCACAAAGTGCAGACAGAAACAGATGCACAGAAATCAGTCACTGCCCACTTCGACATCATCACATATCTGCATGTGACCTGACAGGGAGATTTAATCAGTAGTGTTGTGCTTCTTGCTGTGGATGGACGAGCCGGTGCAAAATCAGGAAGTGAAGTGGTGGTACATATACTAAGTGAGGACAAGTGTAGGACGTACTGCACGAATTGAATCAGGGACGCACGTACGTAGTGGGGGAGGAGAGATACATTCAGAGTAAGCGACTAATATCACGCCGAGAGCTGTGAGAGGGAAGGTCAGTCTCGGAAAGGATGTGGAACGTTCACTCTGAATAGTATGTCATTATCAATGACAGAAACGAGGCATGTCATGGACAAGTACATTACCTCTTCGTGAAGTGAACAGAGTTAATCACAGGTCTGCATAGGCTAGTTTAACATTTGACGGGAATAGCCCGCTCGAGAATGTAGCTATCGATGGTGAGCTGCATTACAACGAGGAAAAATCGGATCAACAATACGCACTGCATATGTACTGGTGGCACGTGGATCATGTATTATTATCAATGGCCCTCCTATGGCGCGACGCACCGCATAAGTCCGCAGACTGCTTGCCGCCGAGCCGAATGCTTTATCTGCATCACGTTGGGGGGATGAGTTTCACGCATTAGGGATCCCCGCACCGTCTTATCTTCAGCTGGGAGCCGGTCAAGATCGGAGAAAGAGGGGCACCGAAGCTGAGGCGCTCAAGCCTCCTAGACTTGTCTTGATTCACAACAGGAGTGACGAGCCTAGAGTTAGACGTGTTATTCTGAATGTGCGCTGCCAGACGTCACGGTATGCTCGCAGGAGTGTACTTTGGTAGCAAAGAGTCGGGCTGATTTTTGGACGTTGGACACTTTGCGAGCTGCACAGAGGTAATATCGAGACGTGTTATCGATACCGATTAATAGGCGTTGTGGGGCATGCCAATACAAATCTGCTGTTTGGATGACAACTCGGAAGCACGGGCGTAAATATCGGGAGGAATGATTGAGCTTACGCATGCGAATATAAATCAGTGCAAGGGTTCGCGTGAACTGGAGGCTTTTCGCATGAACAAGTCCCCGGCGAAACACTCGACGTATCGTACATACTCAGGTAGTAATAAGTAGACACATCACCCGTGAGAAATGCTTTGTCCTCCGAATCGGCAAACAGCGACACTTGGTTGAACCGGGTGCTTCCGAGCCACCTGCCAGTATGAGCTAGTAAAGAAACTCATGCTAAACGAACTATGTTTTGAGGCCCATTCCCTTAACAATAGGTGTCCCAGTTATCTTTTTTGCGCTCTTGTTATGATCATCAACTCACAATCGATTCTGACTGAAGTCTCATTACAAGCCATGTTTAGTAGGCCATTCCGACGGTCTGAACTCTGACCATTTGTCAGTACGTTGAATCTCTGCTCGGACCTCTTTGGCTGGCACTTCGAGGCCAACCAACAGGCGCCGGTGCTGAGAGGGGGAAAAGCGCAGAATATGCTGTCCGCGCTCTCGTCCTAAAATTACTCCATATACATGGTAAGGCTTGCATGTTTTGACGTAGATAACATTTATTTTGCTCCGGATATTCTGCAGGGAACACCGCACTGTAAGTGCTGTGCATGCAGCCAAAAGATGCTGTTTTAGCGACAGTGGTGGACTACAGCTGTAGTGCTAGCGGAACAATGACGCTCTTGTGTCTACAAGAGAGCAGCCGATCAAGTCAATGATGCCATGACCTCCACAAGTGGACACACCCGCTCAAAAAAAAACACCAGAAGACCTGTGGGTCTGTAGATTCCTGTAAGCTTAGTTATATAGGAGGTAGTGTGCTTGAGCACCAACCACAACTTTTGATCATGCATCGCTTTTTTGAATTTGACGATATCATCCATGCCGTGTTACAACATGTCAAATCCTCTGCGACGGACTTGGTGAACGTGGCGATGACATGCTCCAGGCTGGCAGGTCCCGCCCTCAATATCCTCTGGTCCGAACAACGGAGTCTAGCACCTCTCATTATGTGTCTACCGGAAGACGCCTGGGAGGTCGTGGAGGATCATACTATCGTAAGTCAAGTGTGTCATTTGAGTCTTGACAGGACAATGTTCACCGTCCTCCTATTTGCAGAATCTTTCTAGAGAACCAACTCCCATTGAGTGGGAGCGCCTTAGAATAAATGCATCGAGAGTGCGTCGACTTCTTACTGATAACTGCGAGCCCCTGGAGCTACAACCCAGTGGCCGTGTCTTACAGAGACTTTTCGAGCGGTTCCCTCCTATCAGACTCTTCCCGAACCTTTGCGAATTGGATTTCGAGGCCACATTTGGTTTTCTGGAGTGTAGTTCAAAAGTCTTGCTACTTCGGCAGTTCCTGTCGCCTAGATTGGAAGCGCTCGCGTTTGATGTAGCTGGCTTGCCGGCGCATGAAGTAGAGCAATTGCTTGCTGCTCTTCCCGCAGAAGCGTACGGTTTGCGCCAGATGATGATATTGGCGGACAATGGTGCCAAAACTGTTACAGTCCCTCCGAGCCTCAGAAAGCTGCCAAAGTTAACGCAGCTGGCCATTTACGCAATCGATACATGTCTGACGAGGCAGACAATCAACAATATCCAGCAAGCACAACGTCTGCAAACCCTCAACATTTCTTTGCGCGGAGCCTCCTGTGATGCGGGCGATATACCCTTTGAATTGCCTAGTCTCGAATTTTTACGTCTCTTTGGCGATTCCTTGCCACAGTGCACGCACTTCCTTCGTCAAGTCACCACCCGACAACTACAATTAATCGATATCTGTTACTACAAGCCTGCTCGCCCGACCGAAATCGCCGCCTTCATAGAATCCTTGTCCACGTTATGCCAAAATTTCAGATCCTTGAAACAATTCTACCTGGTCGATTCATCAATTGTGAATGATGATGAACCCGCCGCCCCACTCCCCTCTCAAATCTTCCGACCCTTGTTCAAGTTCAACGAACTGGTATCTGTTGTATTCCTCGGCATTGGAGACTACAACCTTGACGATAGGTTCATCAATGATGTCGCAGTTGCCTGGCCGCTTATTCAGGATTTGAAGTTCACCGCCTCAAGGAGGCATGCCGGTTGTAACGTCACCTTTACCGCCCTGATGTCACTGGCGTCAAGGTGTAGATTGCTGCAATTTTTGCATCTGACGTGCGATGCTACACAGGCGACGATAATTCCTCGAGCACCGGACGGGACCAACGAGTTTTGGCCCACGCAAACCGCCCTTTGCAATCTGCACCTTGGGTACTCCGAGATGTCGGAAGTCTCGGGCGTACCATATTTCCTAGCTGAAGTATTTCCGACTCTATCGCATTTCTACTGGTATCGCAACACTGGGGACTTCGGTATCGATATTCTTATGGAAGCAGCACTGGAAGTAGCACGGCAAGAACTAAGGCTGGTTCGGGGCTTGAATGCACCATAGAAGGCGCCTCCCAACGCCCATTCTCTGAATGTAGGATTTTTTTTATTTGTCGCTGAGCCTGGAAAAGCGCAGTGATGCATGGTGTGGAGCGGCCGCGTAGTACTACTAAGCATGTCGAAGGCGGGTGGCCGAATCCATGCCAGAGCGTGTTGAAATCGGATGAAACATGGAAGAAGTGCACTAGTGACTTTCAAATGTCCACGGGCCGGTTCTTGCCCGACATAACATTTAGGGTTCTGATCTGTTGGTGCTGTTGCCGCATTGCATGCGAAGAGACTTGGCCTTGAGCCTCGTTGATTTCTTTGACTATTTGGACTTCCCGTCAGGCTCGTGGTCACAGTGGCAGTGAGAGAAAATATTGTTCCCCCAGCTCCCTTCACTCCTCTTTGTCGTTCCTTACTAGACAGACGCGAAATATGCTCAGCGAGCTCACCGTCTAGACACAGTCAAATCCTGATAGTCTGTCAGCTTGGACGACGCACTGCCAATCGGAAGCTCGGAAGCATGTAGTGCCTTCCTCACCTTACATCAAGTGAAAACATGTCTCCTCACCCGAGGGTGTGCCCGTCTCTATCAGGATTGCGTGATAAAAGGCAATTCTCATCATCGAAGTTAATTGAAGAGAAGTTTTAAGACATACATGACACAAGTATCCGCAACCTTTCTTCTACACATGCACCAACCAAATCCCGGTGGTTAGCGAGATGAAGAAGGGCATATTACAAAACAGACGTCGAGCAATGGAAAACTGTAGTAGTAAAAGTGGAGGGTGTCACCGTGACGACTCACGAGTGGTTGCTAGTACATTCGGTGATGCGGGATCCGAGATATAAACACTACCTTGCCGTCAACGTAAGCCCTAAATTTCAACCACAATGTTGTTGTTACTAACCGAATCAACAGTCTTTTACTGGAATATTGTGAATGAACGCACCAGTTACTTGAAGGATGCGTGTAGTGGTACTGACAACATATCAGCATGGGTACAAGGGGTTCAAGAACCAACTATCACCTTTACAGGCGACAAACGAGCTGCAGGAGTATGTTTGGTAAATGATCATCTTGTGCATCGTGCTCACTATCTCTTCAGACCAATGTGGGTGTGGTCGACAGCATGCCTCCAGCCAAGCGCATGAAAACAGTGACAGTGCGGGAGGAGAAATTGCCATCAGATTCAGATTCAGATTCAGATTCAGAAGCTACAACAGCACTTCCTACTACAAGACACAGGAGTATCAGCTTGGACTCCCTTCCCGCCAGCTGCTTCGACAATAATGCTTGGCATGGTGTATTCCTCCCGACTATTGCACATGCTGCCGGCGGAGAGGGCGTTGATCCATGGTTCATTGACGATCACAGTCTGCTCACAATCCTTGTAAAGGCCTGGAGGGTTGTATACGAAGGGAAACTTTCGTTGAAACGCTGCATTGATGTAGTCTGTCCTGCGGTATGTCTTACCAACACAGATGGTCGACTCCTGATAACTCTTTCATACAGTCTAAGCAAGCGTTGCATAGGTGGCGCAGTGGATTTGGATGTGCTGCCCTCATTATGATCACGAGCTTCATGGCATCTAATCCTGCTTCATTTTCAACTTACGAGCAACGCTCCCGGTTTGCCAAGTATTATCTTTATAAAAATCGGTTTCTTTTCAGGAACGATTCTTCTAAAGACAAGAAGGTCGGGGCACCTGTTATGCTTAATTCATGCTAACATCCCTGTTGTTTAGGAGTGGACGGGGATGTGGAAATCGAGATCCATACTGCAAACATTTGCAGCCCACCTTGATTACACTCGAGGTTGCGTGCCTATCGAAGCTCCGGGATGCGACGAGCAACTCAGTCGAATAGCACTTGCACTCTCTGCAGTAGCGGTAAGCTATATGATTATTTTACTACCCTATTGCACTAATTGTTGTTAGGTTAAGCGCGCCTTACGTCTCCTTTCAACCGGAGAGATGAGTTTTGAGGTTACGACTGCAGTTGCGAAAGGCAAGAGAAAGGTCATGCGAAAGAGTGAGGCTCAAGCCTTGAACAATGACTTATTATGGAAAGTTATCATAAGCAACAATGAGGACTTCTCCGAGTCGCTATGGGGGTATGATAGTCGTATGTTTCTGAATGCAATCAACCGCATACCCGCAGAAAATATGCTGGACATTGTGAAGAGCGCAGAACCATTCATGGCAACTGCCACTGACCACATAGAGATAAATAGTGTGGAGAATATGGATGAGGAGTACGTCGATCTCTTGGATTTCCGATGAAGGTGAGTACTTGGTCTTTTTTGAGTATCGTTTTTATGAGAAGTAATGATCAGCGGAATTCAGACCCGCTAGTCAACTTCGTCCATCACCCTCGGTCACCCTTCCAGCATTCCCTCGTTGCTTACATATAATCCCAGTCGCCTCTCTATTTTGCCTTTCCGCTATTGTGGCCTTAATTTTCATTTTCTTTGTCATGAAATTTTACCTCATCGTGCATCCTACTTCATCTTTACCACTCCTTAAATCCATCTTAATCGCTGCAAGCTTTGCATGATACTTCAGTAATATACCAAGAAGTTGCTGAAGCTGCGCGGAAGAATGAACGTTGAAGACAGACCCGCGCGAGAAGGCAATATTAGATAGGGAGCAGAAGGTGAAAGCTAGTTTGAATGCTGCCGGCTGGTCTCGCAGGTGGGCTTTGCGCTTTGAATTGGCGTCCTGAATGATGTATGTCCAGTAGCTCAACTCGGTGATGAGTGCGCATATCCTGTGCTAGCGAGAAATCGTCGAGAAACGGTGAAACAGCTCATTGTTTGACCGCAATCTAGAAACGTCGCTCACGTCTCACAGCTTCGTACTTCACTTAAACAATAGCCTATCATCTGACAGATCTATATCCATTTCCTGTTCTCACTCACCTTTGCCTCTCCTCCGCAGTCGCTTCCACCCTATTCCGATCACTTGTTACCTCATTGTCAAACTCTATCAAGTAGCAGCTCAACGTTTTGGGCAGCTAGTGCCAGTAGTGATGCACGAGTAAACTCTTGTTGCCTGTAGAGGCCCGACGAGAGTAAATCATATTGCATCTTCGGAGTTACACGCTAATGCTAGTTAATACATGCACGCGATCTAGGGAAGCAATTGAGATCATGCTAGATCCTGTGTCAGAGTTGATCATGAGCTTCGCGTGATATTCTCGAATACTGAGGATCAGCCGTGGTCCCAGTACAGCTGACTGCACAATGCTGAATAGTTCAAGAAAACCAAAATAAGTCAGGGTTGTTGGAGAATATGGATCCTATGAAAAATGATGTATCAATGAAGCGTGGTTGCATTCGGAGGTCAGTGACACTTTGGCGTACCTTTGGCATCGTTGGCGAAGAATAACCGAGGAACAAGCATAAAACTACAACAGAGCTGGTATATGCGGAGCTTCAACGGAAAATACAACCACGTTCACGTTATCGACTCACCTCACAAAGTAACTCATGTGAGTTTTCATTAACACCACGAAACAGCCCCTAATAACACCTCCCGCCGAGTGTCGCCCCAATTCACGGAAGTGCTTTAGAGCAATCCGGACTGCAAGACACAGTATGAAGATCTCCCACACACCGATGAGGATCCAACAGATGTTGTTCAAATGTCCGGGATTGTCAGCAACGCACTGATAGGTGCCAGAGAGAATGAATTGTTCTGAAAAATTATCAATGAGCCCGAGGCACTCGAAGTCTTCGATCCATAATTGAAGCTTACCCGCTGAAATATACCTCATGTTTATTTTGAACATCACTGTGTTGGCGACAATGATGGCTGTGAAGACAACAACGAGAAGTACCAGAACCTTTCTGGATCGTTGATACATGGCATATAACCGAGCAATCATGATGACTTCGCATGATGTTTCAGTGAAGTTGAGGTATCACAACTGCGTAGACTCACCACCAAGTATTGCAATTAGGACCAATGTCGTCCAATATACCGCGAAGTACATGTAAAGGCCTGGCACATCTAGTCAATGATAAGTCTCAGAAGATCACATGAACTCACAACTGTAGTAACCATGATGATGGATCAGAAAGCTGTCCAAGAACGTTGCTCACCCCTCCATGATAGTTGATTAGTAGACGGGTATGGAAGGGATCAGTACGAAATGCTCACTGTATCTTTCAGAGGTATTATCTGAATAGTCACTGTATGCCGTTGATCAGAAGCAACAAACAATGCATATGATGAGACTCACACTGTATGTTCATACTGATGGTGAGACATGGGCGATCAGCACAACACCGGACATTAGCTCTCCAAACATACATAGCATACATTATTCCGACGTAGCGCACCTAGGATATCATCACATCAGCTCAACTTGTTAAGCACACGTATAGCACGAGCTACATACAGCGAGATACAGGACAGTCGTGAGGGACCAGTGTTGCTTCTGTCGCGGATTGATGTTATTGTTACGTCGTTCCTTTGGACATGAGGGCTCTCAGCTCACCCAAATCAATTCAACCTATGAAATTATTTCAGAGAGATGACTGTTCTGGTAATGGCATTAACCTACCTCTTGTCCGAATGCAAGTACTGGAGAAGCCATCAGGATATCAATCAATAGTTCATGCAATCTTGCTCACTCCAATCGTATATTACGCCAGTCGAGGCAGCAACTACAAAAATGCAGCAAAGGGTAGATCAGCATATCGTCATCTCACTGGCTCTCTACTAGTACGTACCCACCAAATAGCTCGAAAAAATATGTGAATTGATGAGCGGCCACCAACTGGGATCATTTGAGATGATGGTCATACTACTATTAGAGGATGTGAGTGGGCGTCGAGCGAGCGAACGAGCAGCGAACTTGGTGGATGGACGTATGAGGATGACATTCATGCTGCAGCAAATATAAAGCAACATATGACCATGTGAAAGCACCAAAATTAGCATAACGCCCAGCAAACACTCACCGGTTCGCTGCCCAAGTCACTGCCGAGATAAGTACCATCCGGCCATCCCTTGGTTGCACTGGGCTGAGTCGTACCACTGCACTGGCACTGCTGCATATGGAACAATATGATTGCCGACGGAATGGGGCCGAAACGTTGGTCCAGTGCGTGGCTTGAGGAGTCACAGCATCGACAGCAAGTTGATATTATATTGATATTGCATTGATAAGACTGATCTACGGCAGATGGGAGCCACCTTATATTCTGCCATCGCCAGAACGCTGCCACTGTCTGTAGCCCGGGGCTAGCCCATAGGATTCACACTAGTGTTTCTACCGCCAGTGGCGAGCCAAGTGACAGTAAGCCGTGTGAAGCCTATGGGCTAGCCCCGGACTACAGGCCTACAGCCAGTGGCAGTGTTCTGGCGATGGCGGAATACAAGGTGGCTCAGTGTTTCTACCGCCACTAGTGGCGAGCCAACAGTAAGCCGTGTGAAGCCTATGGGCTAACCCCGGGCTACAGGGCTACAGCCAGTGGCAGTGTTCTGGCGATGGCGGAATACAAGGTGGCTCCCATCTGCCGTAGATCAGTCTTATCAATGCAATATCAATGTGCGATATCATCCCCATGCAACATCAAGTCATCAAGTCGTGTCCCACCCACTCCCAACTTTGAGAATGAGCGACGAAAAGCCCAAAGACAGGCTGGTGGCGAGGACATTTTGATACCCACCCAGATCTCGAAAAGAAACTCCCTGCGGCCTATGCAAATGAGAAAGAGAGACGACCGAAAGTGATGTGTGGAGCATGCAAGATTGAAAGATTGATTGATGGCCAGCCACTGGCGGTAGAAACACTGCCTCATGATGTAGATTCTCGCCGAGTAACATAATAGATAAGCTTAGAGATGATTGGCGCTCATTGATCATACAGCAACAGTTGAAAAAGGCTGCCCTGAAGGTCGGCTGGAGGCCTAGAATAGGCAAGAATCGGACAGACATCAATTGTGGCGTGCTTGCAGCACTGGAGTGGCTCCCCAAGGCGCCAAATAGGCGACAAGGAAAACGCAAAATTTGGGCCTCAAATAGGCAAATTTTCGACCGAACATCATAGGGAGACTCTTATTATGGAAGGTTATCATAAGCAACAATGAAGACTTCTCCGAGTCGCTATGGGGGTATGATAGTCGTATGTTTCTGAATGCAATCAACCGCATACCCGCAGAAAATATGCTGGACATTGTGAAGAGCGCAGAACCATTCATGGCAACTGCCACTGCATAGAGATAAATAGTGTGGAGGATATGGATGAGGAGTACGTCGATCTCTTGGATTTCCGATGAAGGTGAGTACTTGGTCTTTTTTGAGTATCGTTTTCATGAGAAGTAATGATCCGAAGCAGAATTCAGACCCGCTAGTCAACTTCGTTGTCCATCACTCTCGGTCACCCTTCCAGCATTTCCTTTTTGCCTACATATAATCCCAGTCGCCCCTTCCTTTTGCCTTTCTGCTATTGTGGCATTAATTTTCATTTTCATTGTCATCGTGCATCCTACTTAATCTTTACCACTCCTTAAATCCATCTCAATCGCTGCAAGCTTTGCATGATACTTCAGTAATATACCAAGAAGCTGCCGAAGCTGCGCGGGAGAATGAACGCTGAAGACAGACCCGCGCGAGAAGGCGATATTAGATAGGGAGCAGAAGGTGAAAGCTGGTTTGAATGCTGCCGGCTGGTCTCGCAGGTGAGCTTTGGGCTTTGAATGGACATCCTGAACGATGTATGCCCAGTAGCTCAACTCGGTGATGAGTGCACATCTCCTGTGCTAGCGAAGAGTTGTCAGGAAACGGTGAACCTGCCCATTGTTTGACCGCAGTCTACGTTTTACAGCTTGGTACTTCACTTAAACGATAGCCTATCATCTGACAGATCTATTTCCATTTCCTGTTCTCACTCACCTTTGCCATTATAAGTCCTGTCATGAAACGTCCGCCTCAAATACAGATGAAAAGGCTCCCTCTCCTCCGCAGTCGCTTCCACCCTATTCCAATCGTTCTCAAACTCTATCAAGTAGCAGCTCAACATTTTGGGCAGCTAGTGCCAGTAGTGATGCACGAGCAAATTCTCGTTGCCTGTAGAGGCCTTACGAGTGTAAATCATATTGAACATATTCCGAGTTACACGATAATACTAGTCAATACATGCGCGCGATCTTGGGAAGCAATTGAAATCATGCCAGATCCTGTGTCAGAGTCAATCATGAGCTTAGCGTGATATTCTCGAACACCGAGTACCAGGCGTGGTCCCAGCACAGCTGACTGCACAATGACGAGTAGTTGAACAACGCCGGAATGAATCAGAACTGTTGAAGAATATGGGTCCTATGGAAAATAATGCATCAATGAAGCGTGGTTGCAGAGGTCAGTGATACATTGGCATACCCTTTGCATCGTTGGCCAAAAATAACCGAGGGAGAAGCATAAAACTACAACGGAGCTGGTATGTGAAGAACTTCAACGGAAAATATAGGCACGTTCACGTTATCAGCTCACCTCACAAAGTAACTCAAGTGAGTTTTCATTAACACCACGAAACAGCCTCTAATAACACCTCCCGCCGAGTGTCGTCCCAATTCACGGAAGTGCTTTAGAGCAATCGGGACTGCAAGACACAATGTGAAGATCTCCCATACACCGATGAGTATCCAAGGGATGATGTCCAAATTTTTGGGATTTTCAACAATGCACTGATAGGTGCCAGAGAGAATGACTTGCTCTGAAATTTATAATGAGCCCGAGGCACTCCAAGTCTTCGATCCATAATTGAAGCTTACCCGCTGAAATATACTTCATGTTTATTGTGAGCATCACTATATTGGCGACAATGATGGCCGTGAAGACAACAACGAGGAGTACTAGAACCTTTCTGGACCGTTGATACATGGCATATAACCGAGCAATCATGATGACTTCGCATGATGTTTTAGTGAAGTCGAGGTATTGCAACTGCGTAGACTCACCACCAAGTGTTGCAATTAGGACCCACATCGTCCAATATAACGCGAAGTACATGTAAAGGCCTGGGACATCCAGTCAGTGATAAGTCTCAGAAGATTACTCGCTCCAAAGAAACTCACAACTGTAGTAACCATGATGATGGATCAGAAAGCTGTCCAAGAATGTTGCTCACCCCTCCATGATAGTTGATTAGTAGATGGGTATGGGAGGGATCAGTACGAAATGCTCACTGCATCTTTTAGAGGTATTATCTGAACAGCCACTGTATGCACCCGGTCAGAAGCAACAAACGATGCATATGAAGAGACGCACTCTGTATGTTCACACTGATGGTGAGATATGGGCGATCAGCGCAACACCGGACATTAGCTCTCCAAACATACATAGCATATGTTATTCCGGCGTAGCGCACCTAAGATATCATCGCATCAGCTCAACTTGTTAAGCAAACTTATAGCACGAGCTACATACAGCGAAATACAGGACAGTCATGAGGGACAAGTGTTGGTTCTATCGCGGATTGATGGTATTGTTATGTCGTTCTTTGGACATGAGACTCTGCTCACCCAAATCAATTCAACCTATGAAACTATTTTAGAGAGATGACCGTTCCGGTAATGGTATTAACATACCTCTTTTCCGAATGCAAGCACTGGAGAAGCTATCAGGATATCAATCAATATTCCATGCAATCTTGCTCACTCCAATCGTATATTACGCCAACCGAGGCAGCAACTGCAAAAATGCAGCGAAGGTTAAATCAGCATATCACCGTTATCATCTGACTGGCTCTGTGCTAGTAGTACAGACCTATAAAATAGTCGAATATAAGACGCGAATTGATGAGCGGCCACCAACTGGGATCATTTGAGATGATGGTCATAATACTATTACAGAATGTGAGCGAGCGAGCGGCGAACTTGGTGGACGGACGTATGAGGATGACATTCGTGCTATAGCAAATATAAGGCAACACAATTAGCATAACGCCCAGCAAACGCTGACCAGTTCGCTGCCCAAGTTACTGCCGAGATAAGTACCATACGGCTATCCCTTGGTTTCACTGGGCTGAGTCGTACCACTGCATTAGCACGTGGAACATATTGTCGACGGATCGTGGCCGAAACGTTGGTCCAGTGCGTGGCTCGAGGAAGTCACGGAATTGACGGCAAGTAAGAATATATTTGTGCCTGGCCCTAGTTATTCAGGATCCTAGCCGGTCCGGATTGTACATGTTTGTTTTTGATTTGTCGTCGACCTGCCTCAGCCTGATGCCGGTGTCTCTCTTCGCCCGCAGCCGCCATCGTATCAATCTTTACATCGCCATGGCCTTTAGCAGCTTCGTCTTCTGCTTTGTCATCGTCTTCGTCTGTGCCTTCCGTTTCGCTGGTCCCGGTCACTGTGTCGGATTAAGAGCTCTCTACACACCTACGAAATAGCTGAAAATAATATTCGCATTCATGGTTAGCCACTAACTGGCATCATTCGAGATTAGGGTTATACTATTAGAGGATGGGTGTAAGCAAGGGAGGGACGTAGCGTAGTATAATGATCGCATAGTAAGTGCTCGAAGTAAGTGTTTCAGCATGGATTATCAAGTAAAAGGGGAATATGCATCTAGGAATATCGAAATAACAGTTGTTGATGTCACAGTCGGAGAACTGCTAGTGTTGCCGTCAACGTGACAGCGTTCTAGGGAGATAGAACTATTCTCATATCGAACATCTCCCGTGTTACACGCTATTGCTAGTCAATACATGCACACGATCTTGGAAAGCAGCTGAAATCATGCTAGGTCCTGCATCGATGTCGACCACGAGCTTAGCGTGATATTCTCGAACACCGAGGATCAGGCGTGGTCCCAGCACAGCTGACTGCACAATGATGAATATTTCAAGAAAGCCGAAACGAATCAGAATTGTTGGAGAATATGGATCCTATGGAAAATAATGCATCAATGAAGCGTGGTTGCAGAGGTCAGTGACACATTGGCATACCTTTGGCATCGTTGGCGAAAAATAACTGAAGGAGAGGCATAAAACTACAATAAAGCTGTCATGTGCAGGACTTCAATAAAATAATCACGTTCACGTTACTATCTGCTCACCTCACAAAGTAACTCATGTGAGTTTTCATTAACACCGTGAAACAGTCCCTGATAACACCTCTCGCCGAGTGTTGTCGCAATTCACGGAAGTGCTTTAGAGCAATCCAGACTGCAAGACACAGTATGAAGACCTCCCACACACCCATGATCATCCAAGGGATGGTGTCCAAATTTTTGGGATTTTCAACAACGCATTGATAGGTGCCAAAGATAATGACTTGCTCTGGTATTTATAAATGAGCCCGAGGCACTCCAAGTCTTCGATCCATAATTGAAGCTTACCCGCTGAAATATATCTCATGTTTATTGTGAGCAACACTATGTTGGTGAGATTGATGACCGTGAAGACAACAACGAGAAGTACCAGAACCTTTCTGGACCGTTGATACATGGCATATAACCGAGCGATCATGATGACTTCGCATGATATTTCAGTGAAGTCGAGGTATCGCAATCATGTAGACTCACCACCAAGTATTGCAATTAGAACCCACATCGTCCAATATAACGCGAAATACATGTAAAGGCCTGGGACATTCAGTCAGCGATAAGCTTCAGAGAATCACACGCTAAACTCACAACTGTAGCAACAATTATGATGAATCAGAAAGTTGTCCAAGAACGTTGCTCACCCCTCCATTATAGTTGATTAGTAGACGGCTATGGAAGGGATCAGTACGGAATGCTCACTGTATCTTTCAGAGGTATTATCTGAACAGCCACTGTATACCGCTGGTCAGAATCAACAAACAATGCATGTGAAGAGACGCACTCTGTATGTTCATGCTAATGGTGAGAGATGGGCGATCAGCGCAACACCGGACATTAGTTCTCCAAACATACATAGCATATACTACTCCGACGTAGCGCACCTAGGATATCATCACATCAGCTCAACTTGTTAAGCACACTTATGGCACGGGCTACATACAGTGAGATACATGACTGTCATCAGGGACCAGTGTTGCTTCTGTCGCGGATTGATGGTATTGTTACGTCGTTCCTTTGGACATGAGGGCTCTCTGCTCACCCAGATCAATTCAACCTGTGACATTATTCTTAGAGATGAGACTGTTCCGATAATGGCATTAACCTACCTCTTGTCCGAATGCAAGTGCTGGAGAACCGTCAGGATATCAATAACTGATTTACACGATCTTGCTCACCCCAATCGTACATTACCCCAATCGAGGCAGCAACTGCAAAAATGTAGCAAAGGTTAGATCAGTATATCACCGTCATCACCAGACTAGCCCTCTACTAGTACGTACCCATAAAATAGCTGAAAAGAAGATGTGAATTGATAAGCGGCCACCAACTGGGATCATTTGAGATTATGGTCATAGTCTTAGAGGATGTGAGTCACAGTGAGTGAGTGAGCGGCGAACTTGGTAGACGTATGACGATGACATTTGTACCAGATATACCACCTTTTATCATTGCTACGATGACAGGCATAATATCTGCTTGTCCTGAAGTAAGGTCTTTGGCACGATGAGGGGGAAAGCAATGACTCACAGCCGCGCACCGGAAATAGAAAAAAGTGAACATCCTGATTTCGGTGACTAACTTGTCCCTTCATCCCGACTGGATCTTCAATCACTGCAGTTGGAGTAAGTTATATCGCATTGCTAGAGAGAGAGTTAAGCAGAATTATTCTGAAGCTTTGTGCTCACGATTATGTTCTAATTCGTCCACCAGTTCACTGTGACTGATTAGTAGTATTTGGTCCAGAGGGGCCGAGTCGTACCGCTGTAGATTGTATATGATACAATGTCGGCGGAAGCGAAGAACCAGTACAGTGACATAACTATTCGGAGGGTCAGTTGACTTAGTTCTACCGGTTGTAACCGGCAGAACTAGCAAAACTCTAGGCTATGTACCACATCTGCAAAACGACTGAAATGAACGCTTAGGTCCTGTTTGGACAGCGAATATTATAATTCAATTCAAAATTCGACCATCATGTGACACTGCACGTGATGTATTTGGTGACCTAGATTCCGCCGACTGTTCCGACTGATTCTGATTATTGATTAACTTAATACTACTGAATTAGATCTTGCACTGCAACCATCACCGCAACTAAGCATGGACCTCGAAGCACAAAGTGACTTGCGTCGGAAACACCTCATTCTTCTTGCGATAACAATCGCTATCGCTCAGATCACCTACTACTACAAGTTGCTACTTACATCCCGCGCTGAAAAAGTGCCATACCACACATCAATCTTAACAGGGAAGGCATGGGTGATTGAACTGATTACTGGTCACCCAGATCGTATCAAACATAATTTTGGCGTCCATCTTGAAGTCTTTGAGAGCTTGGTGCAGACTCTTCACAAGCATGGATTTGTTCAGTCGCGCAATGGCATCTCGGTCGACGAGCAACTTGGTATCTTTCTTTACACATGTGTGACTGGACTTTCATCTCGCCTCGTTGGGGAGAGGTTTCAACACTCTCCAGACACCATAACAAGGTAGTACATTCACATCTATTGATCTAATTCATTTAATATGACCATGTTCTAGATATTTCAAGCGGATGCTCTTTTTCTTTTCATCCCATCCATTCTACACATCGCAAGTTAAGTTTCCTAACGAAAATACACCAATCTCCGCAATGATACATGACAACCCGTCATTCCGGTTCTTTGATCGATGCATCGGTGCCATAGATGGCACCCACATCCGTGCATTCGCATCACTCGACGACCATGTCGTCCTGCGCAACCGAAAGGGATTCTTGTCCCAGAACTGTCTGTTCATCTGCGATTTCCAGTTTCGCTTTACATATTCTCTCTGTGGCTGGGATGGCTCAGTCGCTGACGCATCACTCTGGAATGACGCACGCAAAACCGACTTATACATGCCTGCAGGGAAATATCTTCTCGCAGATGCCGGTTTTGGCACTTGTGACGCACTACTGATCCCTTATCGAGGCGTGCGCTATCATCTGAAGGAGTGGCGTCAGGCGAACCTTGCGTGAGTTTTCTCTGAGTCTCCTTAGTACTTAGTGTGATTAAATTATATGTACAGGCCCAGAGATCCTAAAGAGCTATTCAATCTACGACATGCTTCGCTACGCAACGTTATTGAACGTATTTTCGGAGTCCTGAAGCGTCAGTGGCGGATTTTACAGGTTGCGCCAGAATACAGCATGGAGATTCAAGCACGGATCCCAGCAGCGCTTTGCGCTATCCACAACTTCATTCGCCAGCACGATCCCGACTTCTTCGACCCCGAGGAGGATTATGATCTCGCGGAGAATGATGATACTCATGGTGCGGTATTGGGCACACTTTCAGAAGGACAGCCAGATGCTGGGGAGAGAAGGGAGGCAGACAACCGTCGAGATGGAATCGCTGCAGCGATGTGGACCGATTATCTTGCGGAGCGCGCACGTCGGGGGCTGCTGTAACTGTAGAATAGCCTGCTATACAGTTTTCATAGGGATCGAAGTTCAAAGTACTAGTACGTAGTACACAACAGTCTATCATGTAATTTGGTAAACGACAATGAATGTATCATGCATATCCACACAGCTGGCGCCGCTTCTGCTCCAACCAGGCACGTCTTGTCTGCTCATTTAATGAGCAGAAAAGGACCGCCTGGCTCTCATGATCCGCTAAATAGTTAGCGATAGCCAGCTGCTCTTCAACACTTTCAAAAAGATCGCTGTTAGCATATTGGTTGAGGAGGGCGATAGCCTGCACGAGCCCGGCCATTGAAACTTGCTGGGGTGGTGATGGTAACTGCTGGGGGGCTGACAGCCCCATGTTCTTCTGCATCTCACGAACTACAGTGACAAGATCCTTCATACTTTCCGCGCCTTCCTGCTGAACTTTCAGCGTTGCAGATGGAGGACGACTCCGTTTCGAGTGACTGGAGCCTGCAGCGCTTTCAGGAGAGAGTGCGCTATATTTGCGCTTTGCTCCACTAGTATCGCTGACACTTGTCCATGCTCCCACTGAGGAGCCAGCAGAGTGAGAAAGATAGGTGGATGGGACAGATGGTGAGATGGATTCCGGATCCATACCCTGACTTGAATTTGCACTGGCCAGTAAGCCTGTGTCTGGAGTGCGCATGGTGGTGAAATTACGGTTAGGGGTCTGGGGGACGATAAAGCCAGTGGTGGTAGATGTGGTGGGACTTGGTGTGGGATTCAAGTTGAGGGCGGCACTAGTACTGGTGGAATGGGGTCGGAAGACGTATTTGCCTTTCCCCTGACTAGAAACCAGCTGCTCCATAAGGGCGAGGTGGGAGAATCCTTTGTTCCTGAAGGGCTTTGCGGTGGGATGGTGCTGCCAAAAGAGATGACATTGAGTACATGTATTAGAGCTCCTTTGTACGATACTCACCTTGATGTATCTGACCCAGACGTCATCATCTTTCAATGCAATACCTGCCCCATTTTCATCACTCCATGTGAATCCCGATGTATTCTTGATATCAACTACAGCATTATACAATGTTTTCAACTAGAAAGATATTGCACTGATGTTAGTGCCAGCGCCGATAAGAAATTTGAGTTCTTTTATGTAAACATACCGATGTCCATTTGTTCTTGCACACTGTCCCAGTCTTTACTGCACCCCTTTGATCAGGGAATTTCTTCTTCAGATCTTCTGCTGCTGCATTGAAAGCAGGTGCCTTGAAGCCACCATCACCTGAGGAAGAAAGAGCGCCCAGAAGAGACTCAAGCAATGCTGTTTCCTCCTCCTTTGTCCAGATCGCAGCAGCCCTGCGGGATGTGCCAGTCCCCTCAGCTTTCTTATCAGCAGGACCTTGAGACCGAAGGGAGCGTGTAGAACCAGTACCAGACTTATCAGACATTGTGATGGAATTAGTGTGCCACTCGACACGGTGAACCCGAGGTTCACAGCTGGCTTACGTGTAGTGTCACATGATGGTCGAATTTTGAATTGAATTATAATATTCGCTGTCCAAACAGGACCTTAACTTACGCGCGTTACGAACACTTACGAACGCTTACGACTTCAGTAGCGAAGTCATGCGATTGGTGGAGATCTGACAACTCACTTAGTCGTGTCAAAATCACGAAATCAAGTCTTAGATTTAGTCTTAAATTGTTTACCGAATCTTATCTTTGCAAGATAGTCCAATCAATCAATCAAACATTGTGATGCATACTACCACAGGACAGCGAGACTCGAGAGAAACTACATAAAGTCTGTATGTAGCGTGTGATACCATTCCTTGTCTGAAAAATTGTTAAGATAGAAGGTATCATAGCGTTCCAAACACGTCGAAGATTTAACAGCACGATTAGCTCTGTCCCCGTAAACAGGAATGAGCTCGATCGCATGGGTAACATCGAGCAGAGGAATGATCATGCCAACCCGCACTTGTGTGCCATCAGGACCGGTCACAAAATGGCGCTTGACGCGGAACATCATGACTCCAACATCATCTTGAGGACGTGCGACGACTTCGAAGAGCTGTACATAGAGGAAGATTTGATCAAGTTCAGCAGGCAACGGTGGGCCTTTCTTTGACAAGCCGAACACCATGCGAACTTGAGCTACAATGGCATCTAGCGAAGAAATGCGTGAATACAAAGATGCTGACCGCAACTTCAAAACTCACCAAGATTTTCACCTTCTTCACTTTCATTGTGCATCTGCAGCAGGACAGCATCGCAATTTCCAAGAGGATAGTTGGTAGATGGCGGATATGCTTGTACTTGCTGGCTCGGCATGACGAGACGCGGACGCAACGTCGAATGCAACTGAAGACGAAACTTGTTCCAGACGTTGAGCGGACGGTTCTGGAAGTGGGTTGTGAGCACATGATTGATACTCCCTTCTATGAAGGAGCGAAGCTTCAAGGGGAAGTCAGGAAGCTGGTATAAGTGTGCCAAAAAAAGCGGTGTCTTGTTGGTGTGATCACTAGATACTGTGATGTGGAAGGCGATCTTGCTGTCTTCGGACAGCAAACCTTTGAGGAAATGATTGCGAACGGGACGTGGGCCTTGAAAACGAGACAATTCTTCAGGAGCAACACACAGGATCCAGCCCAACATGGGGTCCATGTCAACGACTTCGTCAAATTCGTTGACAATGAGGTTGTTGAGGGACATGTTGTTTGAGCGGAGGAGGGCATAGAGGTCGAACTGGCGTGCAGTTTCTTCCCGGTCTAAGAGACGGACGACTTGCTGGGTAAACGTTGCACGCTGGTGGCTGGTGCGCTCGAATGGATTTTTGCATTGTGTGATGAGCATACGCTCACTAACATCAGCAGTATATTGTATGATAGAGCCAAGCTGGGGGATGGCTCGAGCAAACGATGCCAAGAGCTCGAGTTTGGGGATGTCGAAATGCTCGATGGGACCCGATGATCCACGACGAGCCTCAGCATGGAGAATTGCAGGTTTGAATTCATGGAACTCTTGGAGCGAGGAGATCATGTCAGCGATCGATGTCGGAGTGAAAGTTGGAGACTGCGCTTTGTAAATGAAATCAACAAGTGCACGCACAGCACGGACAAAATCAGGATCGGCGACGCCTGCAATTGTGGGCACAATTGTGCGTTGAATGTCCCGATGTTCCCGGCCGGTCATCTGCTGGACATGCAAGACACCTTGCCCGAAGTGACGGGTTCCGATACGTTTATGCTGCAAACGAAAGCGAGTATCGAGTTCATCAGCCCCAACAACTTCCTTGCACCACTTGAGGATATGATTGAAGAAAAATTTGTGGCAAGTATGTAGAAGCTCGGGCGCAAGGAAAATAGCCGGATTAGCGAAGCGCCAGTCGCGCCAGAAGGGAAGCTGCACTCCATTGAGATGTAATGCTTTAGCTGCTTCTTGAAACTCCTGGACCTTCCAGGGGTCGATACGCCGGCCAAGTTCTTCAAGCGTCGTGAGTGTGCCTTGGCCATCACGAGGTTCATACAACTTTCCGTCTCCGAACTGTGACTGGATAGCCAAAGTAACAGGCGATGTGTTCTTACTCACACATGAGATCATCTGTTGTTCGGGGAGGTCGGCAGTGTATGCGACCAAGGGGGTAAAGGCGTAGCGTAAGAGACCCAATGGGTCCACCATATCTGTGCCTACAGCGGCTGCATGCTTTAGATTTTCGAAGACTATGTCCATGCACCGATGCCACATACGGGCTTGCAAGAGCGAAGAGAATTCGGGATTGCAAATGTACTGGGGAATGGGCATGTACGCGATGCACGACCATGCGTGAGCAGTAGCTTTCATGCGAATGTCAGATCGGATATTGGCGATGGTAAGGAATGTTGGATGCATCTCGAGACCTCCGGTTTGTCGAGTTACCGGAGTTTTGTCTGATGCAAGAACAATAGGCACAATGGTAGCACCCCGCGGAAGCTCGTCCTAGAGTACATCGTTAGAATTAATATTTCAAACATAAAAAAAATACTATAAACCTGGATATCATGCGCACGTGAACTCGACATCCACTCACCATATTCCCGTTCTCCATTAACGAATATTTCATATGGGTCGAATTCCATGTCATTGGCGAAAATCGGATTACCGAATATGTGCTTTGTCACTTCTAAGGCATCACGCCAGATGAGGTGCACAGGGTGAGTAGTAATGTAACCGTCCGTCTCAATTGTTGTGCAGCGCCACGGCGGTCCCTTTGGCAGGGCATCCATGAAGGTGATTAGTTGCAGCGCAGTTTTGAATGAAGGTGGTTTCCGTGCTTCTGATCTCACCTAGTAGCGAGCTGTTAGAATTGAAAAAAGTTCATGTAAAGATCACTGACCCATAATAGCTTCAAAAACCGACTTATTTGTCCCTGATTCAGATTCTCAATGAGAAACTTAGCGAGTTCCCATTCATCCCTCCCAGAAAATGGGTAATACACATTATGTTCGCGAGCAGATTCGTAGTCGTGAGCCTTCATGCGCTCGAATGTATTTGGCCGCTGAAAACCGTAGATAGACCCTGATTTTACATGATAGCGACCCATGCGTTCCTCATCTGGGCCAGCAGGTTGACGAAGTGCATGCGGGATTGGCATAGCATTGCAGGCTGGATCATCTGTCAGATGAGTACAAAGTTCTTCTACCTTCCCGAATGACGTTGAACAGGTGGGACAGCAATACTGGCTAGTACCACTACATGGCTAGCTTGATCAGAGATTTATAGTGATATCATCAAAAAGGACTGACTCTCCAGCTCTAAAAAGTGTTTCATCAGATGTAAAGGCCTCTTCTGCATTGTATGCCATTGGAGCGTTCATTCGAATCGATTCGTATCGAGTCAGGACATTGGAAATTCTGTTAAGTCCTTCAAACTCCGATGTTCGCTGACCAGTCTGTTGACAGCAGTGCAGTGCTGGAGTGGGAGACAAGTGAGAAAACATCCAAGTTGAGCTCTTCACTGTCAATGATCATGCCAGACACTTGTATTGTAACTATGCGCTCTTCTAGCCCAACCAGCTCTACCACCTTTGTTGAACATTCTTCTCCTGCCTATAAGGCAGGTCTTAGGGCTCATCTGCCTCGGTCTCCCAAGAGGAGCTACCCCTTTTTTAACTCTGCCTTATTTGACTCTGAGGCAGAGGGATATGATATCCCTCCTGCAAGTTTTGTGTCCCTTGTAAGTTTCTACCTTCTCTGGTAGTCATTGTATTTAACTTCATTAAATAGGCCCCAGAGATTCTGGGCGACACAAACGTGCCACCTGATGGGCTCAAGGTGGCTGTTGCAGCCCAGTATGCTACTTGCGAGAAGCTCCGCCACCTCATTATGACCAGGATTTGGCAGGTCGAAGAGGCGAGCAGGTGGACTGACTTCTTAAACCAATCCATCCACAGCTTGAAGAAAGAACACGCAGCTGCTGAAGATGGGCTTCGAGGGTGGATTGAAAGCGCGCAGAAAGAGTTTGTAGAGGTTTCCAAACCATCCTCCAGCGTTAACAAGAACCTGCTCAAAGCCAAGGAGTCCCTCAACTTCGTACAAAGTAAATTCGATGATTTGGAGGGATTACTTATTGCACATGGGGTGACCGACGCAGACATGTTGAACGAGAGCGGCGAAGACCCCGAAAGTGCTCGGGACTAGACAATCAGTAAGTTCATTTCTTATCTTGGCCAAGAAGTTACTGATTCGTTGATTGCCGGTCTAGATCAGTGTATCAGTGTTGTGTATCGAAGAATGTTGTAGCAGTGTTTGATTAGTAGCCTCATTTCGTTGACCTCATGGCACACTCTTACCCCTCTTGTCGCCATATTGATATTGCCATCATCGATATTACCTTCTCACTATCACATCATTTTTTCCTATCATGTCCTTACCCCGCGTGAAACTGTTTGAAACGTGCTGATCGTGCCATGCGGTTCACAGCATGCAAGATCTGGGTGCGTCCAATACATAAGTATCTGCGTTCGCGATTACTGATTGTTATCATTATTATTTGGCTGCGCCACGAGGTTTATGGAACCATGCAACTTATTGAATAAGTCCGACTGTTAAGCACCAGGACCAAGGGTGCGTCTTATTGTACATTTTCCACCCACCTCATCATGCCCCCAAAGGCGGGTTCAAGTCGCAGCGCAAAGAACACGACTATTGCGAAACACACAAAGGTCACAAAAAAACGACCCACACGCAAGAACGCTAAGGTATGTCTTATTAAATGTGCACATACAACTAATTTAAATATTGTTAGGCTATAAAAAAACCAGGCAAAAACACGGGTTTGAACCCGTCCTTAAACTCAGATGCAAGCCAGGTCGGCGTCAGTGCCGAGCAACCCCAGCCTCCAGCGTCCTACGAGCAACTCGTCTCGTTGATTAACTCAGAAGGCATGGACGAAGATTCTCAGGATGACAAGATAGAGGAGGATGAGATGGAGGAAGGTGATGTAGAGGATGACGAGATGCAGGACGACGATGAAGGTTTTGGGCAGCTAGGCCCATCATGGGGCTATGCTGAGCCATCGCAGAGCTACGCTCAGCCACTGCAGGACTACGCTCAGCCATCGCAGGGCTACACTGAGCCATTGCCGGACTACGCTGAGCCATCGCAGGGCTATGCTCAGCCAACGCCGGACTACGCTCAGCCATCGCAGGGCTACGCTGAGCCATCGCAGGGCTACGCTCAGCCATCGCCGGACTACGCTCAGCCATCGCAGGGCTACGCTGAGCCATCGCAGGGCTACGCTCAGCCATCGCCAAACTACGCTCAGCCAACGCAGGGCTACGCTGAGCCATCGCAGGGCTACGCTCAGCCATCGCCGGACTACACTCAGCCATCGCAGGGCTATGCTCAGCCATCGCAGGGCTACGCTCAGCCAACGCAGGGCTACGCTCAGCCATCGCAGGGCTACGCTCAGCCATCGCAGGGCTACGCTCAGTCCTCGCAGGGTTACTACCAGTTCCATCAGCCCCCACAGCCAGCCTCATATCCCGCCCACACCTACGGGCTCCCGCAAGCCCCACCTTCATTCACGCCACCGCAACTTGCATCTCGTGAGGCTCAACGATTCGATGTGCCTACACCAACGACATTCAGGAACATCGTGCCTATGCATGCAAGGCACAGGGAAGAAGAACGAGCTCGTTATGCAGGACGGTTGCCCATCGACCTTCCCGGAATTCGTAAGGTATTTGTATACGACCCTCGCCGACCACCCGAAGAGCATCGAGGACACTTGTTTCCAACTGGTGTTATCAGAGTACGTCGCTCACCCGCCTCGTGATTGTGACTGATACTATTCTACAGGCTACAAGTGATATTATGGTTACTGCACCGCTCCCGTCTCAGAGAGACTTGCCCCCGGTGTCCACCCCTCCCTCGCCCATCACCGGCCCATCTGTGGCTGGTGCCAGCTCTCCAGCCAACAATTCTGCACGCTCCCATCCTTACGCCAGGCAACGATCTACCAACGAAATGTTTAAGAGGATGATGGAAGCGGCCAAGTCGAATATGCGCTGCCAAGTACTACTACAGAACGCCATGCCTGAAGGAGCTGCCAACACAGCAATGGCAGAGGCAGTGCTTTCGGCAGCGAGCAGGGAGTACATGCCTGGCGAGCAAATTCCTAATTATGACACGTGTCTCAAGACACTCCGCACTCTCACAACGACCATACGGACAGCTTTCAAAACGAGAGCATGCCGCGAAGTCCCCACTTACTACGATCTTAACCGCCCGTCAGATGCAAATGCAGAGGTCGCACACAGGCAACAACGTGTGCCGACACTTGTAGAGAATCATGCTTACCTGTTTGCAGTAAGTCTTTCGTTTTGTGTCACTTCCTCTATTAACGTCATTTTCTCCAGGACGAAAAGAACGAACAGGATTCGTTGTCCCCAGTCAACCACCCTGGCGTGACCGCCGTGATTCTTGCAGCTGTGTGGGAAAGTGGCTTTCACGCAGAGCTCGACTTGGACGATGTCGACTCTCTTGATAATTTGTATGCTCTCGGTGGCGCTGCGACACACTCGGTCATCATGGAGCACCTCAATGGAAGACGTCAGACGGTGGAGTTTTCAGTATCCTCGTTATCTGGAGCAGAGTACTGCTTCATTCAGCAGCACAATCTCGCCATCCGAAAGGTCCCTGCAGTACATAACGCTTTCGTTTCTTCAAAGGAAGATTTAGTCCGACGAGGTAGATCTACTACTATGTCCGATGCTTTGTAGCAGATATGTTGATAAGATTTGAATACCTTGCGATAATCTCATACTGTCGTAACATTCACTCAATATATATCTTTTTGGAAATATTTCTAGTGTATATTAAAGCCCGTTCGTGCACAAACTCAAACGACACTAAGCGGTCGCCTAAAATCAAACACCGCTCATCGAGCACATCTGACTTTTAGATGCAGACTGTCTTCCTAATGGACTCAGATGACATCAATATTGCCTCGTCCCATCCATATGCATCACAGTCCTCACCGTTGTAATCAACCACCCTTGAGCTTTGTAAGGCGGCTATACGAGTTCGGAAGGGAATTGATCGAGGATGAAGTAGATAGATGATTATGAAGACGAGTACGCGACTGACGGCGACAGACTTTGAGGCGAGCTAGACGGAGTGACTGTTATTAGAGACGTTCTGAGGACACTTGGAGTGGGGAATCACGGTGTTAGATTCTACTACTGAAAATGAGAGTACATGCGCCGTATATATACGTTTGAACGAGTTGACTAGTCCTGAAGGAGCGTGAAGACCGTATGGTAGAGTGAAGGAAAGACTGGAAAGGAATGGCGAGAAAAAGGGTCTAGTTGGTAAGTGTACTGTAAAGCGATGAAAGAGAAAGGAAAAGGTCAGGGCAAGAGGTGTGCGTTCGCAAAATCCCGAACATAGGGCTCAACTTGACACAAGCAAAAAACCTTAAATCACAGCCACCTCACGCTTCTCGTGCACCGTTTCTGAGCTTCTCAATACCGACTTCAAATCTACGTAAAATCGTTCGTTTTATACTGGAAGGGGGGTGTTTGTACTATACAAGAATATGTTTAGATGGTCTGTTTAATTGAAAACGCGTGTCGAAAAAAGTTATCCGCTAAATCAGTGAAGACATGCAAAAAAAAAGTAAAGCACGTGATACTGTCACATCGCGTCATGTAGTCGCGAGTCTCAAGTCTCAGATACTGACACGTCTCAACCCACCACGAGTAAAGTTTCACAATGTACCCCTCTCAATATGCCTCATGGTTTGCATCAGAAGATGAGAGTTCATCACACGAAGGACATTCATGCAGCCCCAACCTAGATTTTCAAGTACCACTAGCATCAGATGATCAATATCAGTATTATTCACCTAATTCCCCCGACTCTGGCTTCTCAGTTTCAGACCCGTCCGAAGCTTGCGGTTCCCGTACCACGATCGTGTGTTCAGAAGTCGACGTACCTGAACTTCTCAAATTAAATACTCCCAACTCTCTATTTCGATTATTCAAAGCTCAACACCTGGAAGTTAGTATAAGCCTGCAACAGAGATGGAGACTGCGATGTCCTGATTGCAACAAATGGTCGCAAATGAGCATCCCTTCTACTGTTCCGCTATGGTCTGAAGGCCAATTCAAGTCCTTGAGCAATCACCGTGGCAGCAAGAAGTACTCGCAGGCGGTAATGAAAAAACAGAAGCAGCTTTCAGCTGGGAATGTGTTTGATGGGCCAATCACTCGGCCCGACAGTATTACATCAGATCAAAGGTACATTTCATATCATTTGCTGATCGATCAATACCATTATGTCACTTATATCAGGTATCCGAGTATTATGTCTCCTCTCGATGACATCAGCAAACTACTAATTTGGTGACAGGTTTCACACGAACAACAAGTCTACACAAACTGTACAAGGTATTACAGACGTACAAGCAATTCAAAATTTGGAGCCACTAAGTACAAACAAACAGGCGGACAAACACCACAAGGACTACAGAGTGTACAAGCAATACAGATTATACACATAATACAAGCGTGTATCAACACTAGTTTAACTTGTACCGCCAGCCCTGCACCCAATAAACGTTGGAACACCATTTCTCCTCCGCTCTATATGCATGCATCCCACGTCAAGGTCAGCCGTCAATAATCGCATGTTCGCAGCTTCTACACGACGGAGATGGAGGTTAGTAAGTACTATGTGGTGCTCCAAGATGCTGTCTGCGAGGTCCTTTTGGGCTTGACAAATCCTACATTTTGCTTGAGCTGCCTCTAGTGCAAGATCGGAGTGGTCTTCTTCGTCTGGTTGGTTGAATAATGGGTAGTTGAGGTCCTTATGCGCAATGAATAAGAACAATCGAAGACGGAACACCGGACGCACGAACTCACAAACTGCAGGCCTCCAGATAAGCTGGGCTCGTCTTTAATAACGCACGACCCCATTTGAGACGATAAAGTTTTGTTTGGAGAGAGACTTTGGCAGGACGTGCGGTGTCCAACTGATGTCGCATCGTAAGGTTTTTGAAGGCGATACTTGAAGCGAGTATTATATGAGCGCAAGGACTGAGTTCTTGAAGACGAATTGCGAGACAAAGATGAGACTACAGAAGAGCTTGGAGATGAAGTTACAGAATCATCCATCATATGTAAATATAATATATCGTATTATGATGGGTGTACGAGCAAAGATAAGTCTTAAGCGTGTATGAGCACTTGAAGCGTGTGAACAAATCTTTGTGCTTCCGAACAACCATGTCAATATCATGTCCGAAATGCGGGAAAGTATTCAGCAAGGAGTCCAGCGTCACTCGTCACCTCAGTCAGCCTCGATCATCGTGTCATAGTTCTATTCGTGACATGGTGGACATTTCTCAGTTCGCAGAGTCAGTTCTACAATTACGGCGGTCCCCCGATCCAACTCTTTACCATGGTATAAATTCGGACGCATATCCTTCGCATTTCGATGTCGACTTCTTCGAGACGGAGGAAGAGGAATACATGAGTGCGGAGGAACAGTACGAAGACGCAGGGACTTGTTACTCTCAAGATGGCCTGACGTTCTTGGATCTTTTTGACGCGGACGAGTATGCAGAATACAGAAAGGATAATTTATTCTATCCTTTTGCATCAAAAGAGGAATGGGAAATCGCCGATTTTCTTCTTCGTTCTCCCCTTAGTATGGCTGCAATCAATGAATTTCTAGCGCTCCCAATGGTGAGTGCTCTTCACGAATGCTGGCGCTTTGAGATCTTGCGGACTCACAACTTTGGAGCCTTTTCTCCTTCTTGCAATTCTCAAGTCTCTTATCCTTCTCGTATTTCTTAATATCCTTCTCGCACTTTACTGATCACGTCCTTACTTTACAGATCCGCGGATTGAAGCTTTCATTCAGTACCGCTAAAGAATTGCGAAGCCGAGCTGAGATGCTACCCAAGGGACCAAGCTGGAAGTGTCAAATTATCCCATCTCTACATCGCACCAAAAATCCAATCCGACTTTTTTGGAGGGATCCGGTCGAATGCTTAGAAGCCCTCTTCAGCAACCCCCTTTTCCATGACAAGCTTGATTTTGTCCCTCGTCGCGTGTACACGACCGCAGCACGGCTTACCCGCGTTTATTCGGAGTGGCTGACAGGCGATTTTGCTTGGGAGTTCCAGGTATGTGCATCTGAGCCCCATAACATGCGCTGTCTTACTTAGGGCCTACAGAGTCAAGTGCCCAGAGGCGCTACAATTCTTGGCACAATCATTTCTTCCAACAAAACAAATATCACCACTATGACTGGCGCTAGAGTTGCTCATCCGCTTCTTCTCGGTCTCGCTAATATCCGCATGCAAACTCGCATGAAACTCTCATCCAGGGCCTTCCTACTCACAGCACTCCTCCCTATCCCGCAGTACTTACACTCTACTCAACGGATGCGAGGTGTTCTCGAAGACCGCCTCATACATCAATGTCTTTCCATCGTCTTAAAGCCGTTGATGATCGCGGCCGAAATCGGGATAATGATGTCCGATCCCGTCGGAAATGTTCGCCATTGCTATACGCCCCTTGCAGCATACATCGTTGATACCCCGGAGGCATGTATGCTTGCGTGCGTACGCGGGAAAACCTCCCCGTTTACGATGGCATCATATCTGGAGTTTGGGGACAATTTTCGTTACCCCGAACGTACACGCCATATCACTCTCGATCAGCTCGCCAAGATACAAGTTGATCCCAATGACCTTGAAGGTTATTTTGATGCATGCGCCATATATCGTCTAAACGGTGTCCATGCGCCCTTCTGGCAAGATTGGCCATTTGCTTGTCCCTCGGTCTTTCTAACTCCAGAGGCTCTGCATCACTGGCACAAGCAATTTTTCGATCACGACCTTCAGTGGTGCATTGAGGTTGTTGGAGCGCAAGAACTCAATTTTCGGTTCTCGATTTTGCAGCCAACCACAGGCTATCGTCACTACTCTGGCGGAATAACGAAGCTCAAGCAAGTCACGGGCAGAGTCCACCGTGATCTACAGCGTTACATTGTCAGTCTCCTCGTCGGTGCAGCCCCTCGTCGATTTGTGATCGCAATCCGTGCCCTTATGGACGTCCGCTACCTGGCACAATCCCCTTCTCCAGATGACAATTTATTGGCATCTATTGACCAATCTCTTTCGACCTTTCATCAAAACAAAGATGTTATCACGACGTTGGGCGCACGGACCGGTACGAAGAAGACGATCGACAATTGGTATATACCTAAGCTAGAGCTAATGCAGAGCATCACTGCCAGCACACGCAAAGTTGGAGCCCTCATCCAGTGGTCTGCGGACGCCACTGAACATGCGCATGTGTCCGAAATCAAGGAACCTGCACGACAAACCAACAATAATGATTATGACCCTCAGATTTGCCGTCATTTAGATCGACAGGACAAGCTGCGGCGATTTGCGATTGCTATGACATTGAAGAGTGGTGTCCTTGATCCAGACCCCGAAGAATTACCCATGGATGAGGGAGACGATGAAGACATTGCTGAGCTCGAAGAACCGTCTACTGATCAACGAACTGCACTCCTGGAGGGGCTTAATCGCACACGTGTCACTACTAACTACTTCATCAAAGCTAAGGAGGCGGCTACTGTACCTCGTGGACCTAGCCCTCATCCTCCTCGAACGTTTACCGCTGGTAATACCGCTATCCATCTAAATTATAGTCCAACTCGCACTGGAATGAAAATTGACGATGTCGCAGACGAGTTCAACATACCGGATCTTCGTGATGCTATTTCAAACTTCTTGCGACTTGACGCGAGGAACAGAGATGTGATTCATGGGGTTGGAATCTCAAGAAGATCGTTAATCGACCGTCCTTCTACTCTGCCTTTTGATCGTGTTCAAGTTTGGCACACAGTTCGCTTGCAGGAAGTTTCCTTCCATGATCCATGTGTCATCTTACCAGCGCAAACCTTGCACGCCTCTCCACCATGTCCCGGGTGGCCGAAAGGCCAACGAGACGCCGTCCTTATCAATGTCGATAGAGAGTATGAGTGGCCCCAGTCAGGGTTAAGGGGTGAGTCCTTTTCTATTCTTATCAATCTGGCTGAAGTGTGACTCCTTGGAAGGGCACGCCATCTGTGAAGTGCGGCTTATCATCCGCCCAATGGCCCGACGAGGTTCTCATATCACTTGGCGAGATCAATATCTATGCTATGTGCATAGCCTGAAGGTTGGCGCAGTCCATCCTGCCGCTGGGATGCATGTATTGAAGCGTGCTAAGCATGGGGATGGTACTCCAGTAGGTAACATAGTTCCCCTCAAGCAAATGCGTACCTTTATCAGTATAATACCTGAGCTGGGAGCTGCAGCGGACGCGCGGTTGACAAAGGAGACTTCTGCACATTATTCCTCATCATTTTTCTTGAACAAGTACTTCAACAAGCAGCTTTATTATGCACTTTACCATGCTTCACAACGGATAGATACATAGAATGGTGCTCAGAGATGTTTTCTGATAATCCTGATGCATATGTTTTAATCCCTAGTGATAACAGATAAGGAACGTGCACGGACACTGCCCAATTGGTAGTTGCATGCCTGAACGACAAGTTGAGCATTGACCACCTGACTCGCACAATGCAGTCATCCATTTCATCCCGGCAATCCGACATTGACAACTTCTTGCTCTACGCAACGTTAAGCTCTATTGGTGTCCCTTCTGGCCCACGCACCTTAGATACTACGCAAGCTCTCCTCAAGCAAGAGCTGAAAAACCGCCTGATTCATGAAGGTTTTGGAAGGGGTGCCAGAATACCATTGGAGAAGTCCATTTTTCATCGTCTTGTGATAAAAACTACTCTCCAATTGAGCGAGATCAAGACCATTCAGTACGACAAAAAAGGACAATTTGCATACTCCGGAGACAAATGGAAATTCCACCGCAGGAGAAAAGGAATCAAACGTACTCGTGGCGCAAAGGATGAACAGGATGACGGTACAGAGGACAGTGGCACAGAGCGCGAGGATGCAGAGGATGATGGTACAGACGACGAGGATGCAGAAGATGATGATACAGAGAATGGTGATACGAATATCGATGATGCAGAGATCAAGGGTGCAGCGCTTGGCGTAGAGCCCTCTTTTGACTCGGTGATCCATGGCCAATCTGAAACAGAAGCATGGAGTTCCCAAGAGTACCGGCCTTCGGGATCGAAGAAAAGACTCAGGCCTGTGTCCGTGACAACTGAAAAACAGTTTCAACGTCTCTTCTACACCATTCAGTATCACCTGCGCCACAAACTGAAACCCCACCTCCCTTTCAACATATCCGATTCGGCTGGATCCCGGTACTGGTCTGCAGAGTTCTCCACCTCTCCTATACCAGACGAATACAACTGCCAGAAGCCCGACATAGCCCTGTTTGACTTCGCCATCAAAAACATGGGGAAGACATGGGCAGATGTCCTGTCCTTCGTGGAGCATACCTCCAGTGATCTCACTAAAAAGCGAGATATACCAGTGTTCTGGGGATCTACGACCAAAGCCTACCTAATGCTGAGAGAACAACCATGGCGCCGATTCGTCGTTGGGTTTTCGATTTGTGCTGATCAGCTTCGTGCACATTACTTTGACCGCTCCGGTCTCATCATTTCCCATCCTTTTCACATCCATCAAAACATGGGCCCTGTGCGACTCACAGAGATGTTGGGCACCCTCACTCTATCGGATATTCACCATTTGGGTTTCGATCCGACGATTCACATGTGTAACGCTGCATGCACAGGAACTCATCCTAATTTAGCACACGAGGCGAAGGGCTGGGTGAAGGACAACCACGACAAAACATATTCCATTATGGATGTTCTGTGGAAGAGCCATGGGCTTTTCTGTCGTGGAACGGTTTGTTATCGTGTCGTTGATGAGGCAGGGAATCAGTACGCTTTAAAAGATTGTTGGGTGACAGAGGAGAAGAGAATGCACGAAACGACCATCCTGGAGATGGTCAAGGGCATCCCTAATGTTGTCGAACTCATAGACCATTGGGACGTGTATTACGAAGGGGAGCCTGACTGCACAGCGCGCATTCGCAGCCAATACGACATGGGCCATCAGGATGACTTGATGTTCCGCAACAGATTCCACCGCCGCATTCTCTTGTCCCCCTGTGGAGAGCCATTATCTAAATTCAGCTCTAGACGAGAACTGCTCACCGCCTTCCATGCCTTTGTAGTTGGTGAGTCTTATTGAGCATGCAAAATCCTTGTATCAATCTTTTATTTTCAGCTCATCACATGATGATTGAGAAGCGAGTCTTGCATGGGGACCTCAGTCCCAATAATTTTGTTGTTCATGACGGTATTGGTTACTTCATCGATTTCGATCACGCCTCGATTCTAGATGAAGGCACGACTAGCACCTATTCGCATGGTACAGTAAGTTTCGGTATACATTTTCGCTATTCATTGTTCATTTCATTTTTTCAGGGGACCATGCCCTACATTTCTATCCGTATTCTTCAGGCTATGCTGGATCTAGCCCCACTTGAGGTTGGCGCCAACATCCCAGGCCAGGATCCTGATCCAAATAATGTGGACGATTCCACGGTGGACAACAACGTCGATCTTGTTCCGCAGGCTGCCAATGCTCCGCAGAATGTCAACTTCGATACCGATCTGATCGAACACCGGCCCAGCGATGACCTCGAGTCCTTATTTTATATTTTTTTCGAGTTTGTTGCCAAGTATGGGGGGCCACATGGCCAATTGGCATCCACCTGGTCCCGGCGAACTTTACCGTGGGCGAGCGCTTATGAAGCTTTGGGCAATGCAGATACCCATTTGGCCCTAAGTACGATCTGTTTCGCGAAGATGGGGGTTTTAATGCAAGGCCGATTCTTGGTCGCCAAGACATCCGAATACTTCGCGGAATTCCGACCTCTCGTGCATAAATGGGGCACCATGGTTTACGATGCGAACGCGCCCCAAAATCCGGTAGAGATGACCCACGCTGGAGTCCTCGACCTACTTGATATATTCATGAGATCTATTGGTGAAGAACCACCTCCTTTAGAACAATCCCAGAGTCTTCATCCCCGCACAGCAGCATCCCAGAGTCTTCACTACCGCACGTCAGCATCCCAGAGTCTTCACTCCCGCACGTCAGCATCCGATGCCCTTCACCCCCCCCCCAGCAGGGCCATCTGAGCCTTTACTGCGTCGTTCTGCTCGTCTTAGCTTAACAAATCCTCCGATACCCTCTACAGCACTTTCCGAGCCTTTGTCGTCTCATTCCCCACGAAAAAAAAGAACAAACGGGCGACTCGGAGGAGGCAATGAGAGGTGTCTGAACTTTTTTTCCGTACATGTCATCCCACAATCCTCTTTCCGAGTGCTGGCCACTTATCTTCTCACAATTCTCAAGTCTCTTATCCTTCTCGTATTTCTTAACATCCTTCAACTCCCACTGTCATTTACTCAACTCGTTGTACCCTCTAATTATTATTACGTTCGGAGTCATACGGTACCTGTATACGTACTCTGTTGTGCTAGTTTAGTACGTCATACGTCGAGCCCATCAGCTTATGTGATACGACTCTGGGTACTAATTGGTGGCGACAGGTTTTAGAATCTTGGCACTTCCCGCCTTCTCGCTCGATGCCTCCGAAGAAGAGGGCCAGGCGCTCATACGAAGTCTCCGAGGGTACTCGACGAAGTGAGAGATCTACGCGAGGCCAAGGTGGACATGCAGACCAGTTGAAAAAAACTGGCGAAACCTTAGTGGCCCCAGCGAGGAAAGGTCGGAAGGAGACCAATCTTGACATTAGTGATGCAGAGGAAAACCCCATGGCTCCTTCCCAGCTCCGGAAACCGAAGAAAACTGTGACAGTTGACGTTCTAATATAAACTCCCAAAAGCTAACATTCTTCCAGGCTACTACTAAAAGGTCTCTGACCGGGAGCACCAATCCTACTCAGTGTTCCGTTGGTATCAACAAGAATGTCCATTCTGGACGCCAGCAACCTAATTCAGGACACCAACATTCTGGCGCATCTCTCCGGACAGCCCCAAGTGCAGCTCAGTCTTCAGGTAGGTTTGGGTTTCGGCAGCCCACTTCGACTGGCAGTCAGAACATCCGGAAGGCACCACGGCCCAATGAGCGTACCCGTGACTCGGAGGAGGAGGCTGGAAGTCAAGCTCCAGAGCATGGTATCGGTGACGACGACGACGACCAGGACCAGGACCAGGACCAGGACCAAACTGACGGGGAAAATGAGGACAGGTACGTCTTCTGCTACTATCTCATCCGTCTGTTGTCACATGTGCCCGATGCAGGGACGGAGTTCAGGACCAGGAGCAAACACTTGAAATAGGCGGTACCACGGACTTTGGACAACACGAAGACGATTTGGATGGCGAGTACGGAGGTGACGCTCAGGAAGATTGTCTGAATCAAGGTATGATGGGATGTCAACAATTAGCCTGATGCTTAGTGATTTCAATCAAGGTATTGATGGGGATTTTGACGATGAGCCTGGCACTCAGAGGGACAAGCCTGACGCTCAGGACAGTGGTACTCATGACGACTCCAACAATGAGCTCGACAATGCAGCCAGTGACGAAACAGAGGAAAGTGTTTTAATTTTTGTCTTGAGGTTAATCTTATCACACGCTCTTCAGGAAACTTTTGATGTTCTCGAGCGACATCAAATGAAAAATGGACGGCGCAAGGCACCTTCTTTAACTTATCTATCGAGGGCGAAACATACTGAACGCAGACGTGCTTCTAGCCAGTCGAAGTCTCCTCGTCGACCGTCACCTCGACGTGTGGTGTCTACTGGGTCTTCTGCTCTGGCGCGACCTCCTAAATGTGGGTGCTCACCTCACATTACTTCTACCCACTCAAAGTATCCAGACCAGCGTTCGGTGTCGCCTCGTAGACACACATCTCAGCGTGTCCCATCTATGCGCCCTTCTACACGCTCAAGGTCTCCATATCGGTGTTCGGTGTCGCCTCGTAGACACACATCTCAGCGTGTCCCGTCTATGCGCCCTTCTGCGCGCTCAAGGTCTCCATATCGGCGTTCAGTGTCACCTCATAGACACACATCTCTGCATGTCCCGTCTGTGCGCCCTTCTACACGCTCAAGGTCTCCATATCAGTGTTCGGTGTCGCCTCGTAGACACATATCTCAGCGTGTCCCGTCTATGCGCCCTTCTTCCTCCCGCGTGCACTCTCGCCATTCTACACGCTCAAGGTCACCATATCGGCGTTCAGCGTCACCTCATACACACGTATCTCAGTGTCCCCCCGCATGCAGTCTCCTCATCGGCGTTCTCCATCTAGGCGAAGCACTTCCTCCAGTCGTGCTACACGTGATGAGCCAGATTCATACAGAAATAAGCGCAAGGCCAAGACAGTCCAAGAGGATCCCGCGAAGCTCGGCTTTTACCCACCTGCCTGGCAAGCATTTTTGCAGGCAGCGAAGTTAGAGATGCGTCTACAGGCTGTTCTAACGCATCCCATTCCAGATCATGGAGATGCGCTACAACTTGCACAAGAAGTTCTTGACGCTGAATTGTGGGTGTACCACGAAAAAAAGATCAAATTGGACAACGGTGAATGGGTTCCTCACATTGCCTGACCCCCTTTGCGAATCTCATCTCGCTTCTTAGGCTATTTCCCGCAGTACACGACACAAATGTTGCGGCTGGTAAGTGTCTCATTAATAGATGTATGATAAACTTATATCTTTACTGTCAGCTCTGTGATGATCTATTCACGTTTCGCACGGAGCTGAAGAAAGTTGTTATATCCGTCGCGAAAGCATCATACGATATCTTCCCGAAGGGCACCATGGCGCGCAAGGACGAGGTACAGAAATGTGTCATTGCGAAGGCCACCAAGTTACTCAAGACCGGTGATTATCTTCGTATTCCCGATTCATCTGATGTATGGTTTCGTGTTTACGCCTCCCAAGGCAGCCACTCACTATTAGTTTTATAGGGCAAATGGAGGAATTTTGTCTCGCAAGCTCTCAGGGATGGCTGCCTCGAATTCTACTATGGTAATAGCAAGAAAGCCCTCAAGAACACAGATGAATTTCGACGTGCAATACCTGTCAATGGGCTGCTTCTTGTGGGCGCCGTGGTGCGCCCTGTTATTTATTTTGTTTGTGTTATTTAGTCATTGATGAATCAACAGACGAAGGGCGTCCTCACTGGGTTTCGCGAGACCGGCACTGACAAAGTCCCAGACCTCTCCGCAGATAAATGTAGGGCCGACTTCAACTCGTTGCAGAAGTCTGTAGATGCACTTCTAGAAAATCCTGACCGTCGTGCGGAGCTCGAGGAGATGTTGGAGCAGTGGGCTATGATTGGGATGGGTGACCTTGATTTTGACGAGGGCAATACTGGAGGCAGTGATATGGAGGATGTCAACATCATCTTATAATCTAGCATACTCTCTCGTTCAGCATGTTGTAATTTGTGACAATCAGCACAGTTTTTGCATCCTTTACAAGCCTGTACAATGTCTAGCAACTGCATAAACTTACATAACATGTGCCACCTATATAACATGTGCCGCCTATACAACATGTGCCGCCTATACAACATGTCTCACCTACACAACATGTATCATGTGTATTGTCTGTACAAAGGCACAGACTGTAACATTTGTATATATTGTGAGACCTTGTGACAGGACTGTAAAGGGGAGACTTTCCTGTGTGACTGTAAGGCTTGTACAGGCTTGTACAGGCTTGTACAACATTGTACAGGTACCGGCTGGTTTGCTGATGCGAGCGCGCTTGCGCAGGTATTCCCATCAATTGGCCAGACGACGTGCGCCCTTTCCTTGTCATGTTCCCTTGGGAGAGCTATCACGACGGGCCGAATGCTCTACCATTCACTGTCGATATCACACACCCGTCTGAACCTCGTGCTCGATCCAAGCATTGCGACCCGAACATGTTTGATGGATCCCCCTGCAGTGAGTGTGCAATTGTACATAAGCATATCTCTTGGCTGGTCGAAATTGCCCGGGACCCGAAGGCACACACAAACTACAAGTACCTAGGCCTCGCGCACATGCAGGACATCGCCAAGATGTATGCTGCGCAGGTTAAGGAATTAAAACTGCAGGTAAGGTCATTTTTTTCGCTTATATTCATTCCTACTGACTACAAATGCTAGGCCTGCAATGATTCTCGCAAATACATGACATCCCTCACACAGCTCAACGACTACAGCCGCCTCTTGATGGCGATATCTGAAAACGATGTCCCCCGCCTCCAGCAAATTATCAAGATCGCATTGGACAATGGCACCAGTGTCCGCGAGGTCGTCAACAGGCTAGAAGACGCCATTGAGGGCGTATATCACCCTCGAGGATATGGTTCTAGTGATATCGACATCGCTACTCTAGTATATCGTCTGGGAGGATGCCAACTTCTTTACGCGCTCAATCACCAGATCGGGTGCCCTCCATTCGCACTCTTCGAGCTCGGTCCACGTTCACTACCATAACGCCCACCATCGGACCCATTTGGCCTGAGCAATTTGACGAAAACATACACAATATTATTCTCAATACTCGGGACAGTACAACATCTCTACGCGGAGTCAGCTTTATGATTGACGAGATGGCCCTTGAAGAAATGGTGATCCATTTCGGAAAGTACAATATGATCGGTGGTCTTTGTTGGAAACACTCCAACCTCGTTGATCCAGTCTTGCGCACATACGACTCCGCTGTTCGCATCGCTCAGAAGATTCACAACCAGGAAGTACACCTCGGTAAGGAGGTCACAGTAATTGGTGTTGCGTGTTTTGGGGAAGATGAACTGTACCCTGTGTTAGCAGCTCCAACCTGCAAGACTGAAAACGCTGCTGACATGGAGGGAATTCTCACTCGCGCTATCGAGCACTGGAGTGCAACAGGCGCTGATACACTTGTCGGACCAGTGTGGTCATTTGCTATGGATGGTGATGCAACACGCCGTGCCGCAGGACACAGGCTCTTCGTCAAAAAACCCCTCTCCTCAAATTCTCCGCTATATGCTACATTGTCAGATATGCCTGGGCTGAACACTGTTACGACTGGGATGAGTCGAGCTATCTGTGTCTGAATAGACAATCGGCAAGATGCCAGATAGACAGAGGTCTGCTCTCGAATGAGAGATCAAGGTTTCTGGCTAAGGTGAGTGTCGCTGACTCCCTTAGAATAGTGGTTCTTAGACAGTAAGGTTGGAGACCTTACTGAAGGACAATGTTCCAGGTAAAACCCAGTAGATTAAAGTAAAGAATACAATCGTTGGTAGCTAAGTCTATATAGCTAATGTTCAAGCGGAGCTTGTAAATGGTTATCAAGATAGAAGCATGATAGGAAGAAAGATAAGGCGGACAGCCCGCTTGACGAAGATAAGAGATAAGCATGGTACGGACAGCCCATTTGTAAGCGAGATAAAAAGGAAATGAAGATAGGGGTAGAATGTTACTGTAACATTACCCCACTGCTATGGTTGAAGTCTCCGACTTCAATATTCTTCGGTGTTGACATACTCGTCCATGTGTTCATAGTAGATTGGGTCTGCGTCAGCGTTGGAAAACTCTGGTTCATCGTACCGAGTTGCATACTCCCGATTTGCTCGTTCTATTTCATCTCGGAGTTCCTCATCCTTTTTGGCCTCCCATTCTGACAATGCTTCGTAGAAGCCTTCGTCGGTGTAAACCAACGGAAATTGCTCCTTCTTGGAGGTGTAGGGGCAGTAAATGGAGAGATGGCCAGGCTTTTGGCCTTGGCATACGCGGCAGTGGTATTCAGGACAGTTCTTGTGGCGGTGTCCGAGTTTCTTACAGACGCGACAAATAAAATTGTCCGAGGAAAACTGGGGTTGTTTTACTGTGATGACGTCGGGGGTTTTGGTGAGGTCGATGACTTCACGCTTCTTTCCCTTAGAAGCTCTAGTCTTCGACACTCCGTGCACTGTGGCTCCCTTGCGGGTCTTTCGTTTAAAAACGAAGGTGGGGTCGGGGACGGGTAATGCTCCTTCAGCTTGTGCTGGTTGAGCAACAGGTTGAGTTTCTTCTCTAGTCGTATCTGCAGCAGGTATGCTGCCGGGGGGAGTGCTAGTATAAGGGCTTGGCGGGCGACCGACTTCGGTTGCGTTTCGCTCTTCAACAGTCCGTATAACTGTTTTGCAGACAGTGCTAAAAGCAGAAGGAAGAAGCTGAATCTCAAGACTGCGAATTTGTCTTTGAAGGTGCTGGCAAGCGAGTCTGAGGGCATCGTCTTTGATTTCCCTGAGTCTGAGTTCGAGGGCGGCGGTGGCGCATATGACATGAATTTGGGATAGTATGGGGGCGGCGACGAATGCGGGTTCTTTTGTGAGCTGTTTCTCTAGTTCAATTGCGTGGGGGAGGGACAACAAAGTTGTTTCAATGATGGCGTCGTCGTCGAGGTCGATGATATTCTTTTTGTACGTGGAGTTTTCAAGGGAGAAGGTGGATGAGGATGATCCAGTAGGGGAAGGTGTTAATGGGGAAGTCATGATACTTGGGGTGTTTGTTCGAAGGGAATGGTTCGTTCAGTTTAGTTTGTGTCTCTCTTTATACCTAGTCAAGAGTTCTTTCGAACTGCGCAAGTTTTCCTCGGGTATCCATTCGTTGCTTCCGGAAGAATAGCCTATCCATGATACGAGATAGCGTCTTCGTTTACCCGTTCCTCTATGGCTAAGAATAGCTTCTACTTCGTATTCTTCTTCACCATTGATAACGTCAGGTGGAGGCTTGGTGTAGTTTGGTCCGTGTATCTCTGTCTCGCGATAGGAGGATAGTTCAGAAGCATGGAACGTGGGGTGAACTTTCCATTGATCGGGGAGTTTCAGGGTGAACGTGATAGGAGATAAGACTGCGGTGATAACGAATGGTCCGTATCGTTTGGGCGCAAGTTTCCTGGATGGTAACGATGTTAGGAGATTGGTGGCAGTAAGCCATACCTTATCTCCTATCTTCCATGGTCGATATTTCCCATGGCGAGATCTTTCTGCCATTCATTGCATAGCAATGTTGTGGCAGGCGAGTGCTTCTTCACGTATCTTCTGGAGGTTCCTGAGTCTTTCTTCTGCTGCTGGCGTGTCTGATACAGGTAAGATGTGGGGGATTCCCCTCGGTTCATAGCCCATCATGAGGAAGAATGGGGAGGTGTTTCTGGCGTCATGTTTTCGATGGTTGTGTACGAATTCGGCGATGGGGAGATGGCTGGCCCATTCCAATGGATTACTTCTGCAGTAGATTCGAAGATAGGTTTCAAGTTCTTGGTTGAGGCGTTCCGTTTGTCCGTCTGTCTGGGGGTGGTAGGCGGTTGATGCAGCAATCTGGTATCCGAGGAGTCTGGCGAGTTCTCGAGAGAATTTTGAGATAAATTGCGGTCCCCTGTCAGAGATTACTTTATCATGGAGGCCAAATCTTTTGAATACATTTTTTAGGAATAGTTTGGCCACTCCTTCTGAGGTGATGTTTTTGTTACATGGCGAGATAATTACCCCCTTCGTAAGCCCATGGTCTACCACGATCATGATAGAGTCGAAGCCTCCCAATAACGGTAGATCGGTGATGAGGTCGACTGAGACCTGAGAAAAGGGGCGGGTGGCAGCGGAGGGAATGGGGCGTAAAGGCGGGGTAGTTGGATGCGTGTCAGCTTTCATCTGCTGGCACAACGCGCATCCGTCGACGTATTTGCGAATATAAGTCCCCATAGCGGGCCACCAAAAATCCCGTTTTACCAACTCCTCCGTTTTGAATCAGCCCGGGTGCCCTGCCGTGGGGTGATCATGGTGCTTAAACAGCACATCATGCCGTTGGGCCATTGGCACATAGGCTCTCTTTTTATAAAAGAGGACGCCATCGGTGCATGTCCAGTCAGAGAGGGCGGATTTCATTGGGGGGAGGCATATCCCGTCCAATGCTTGTACGGCCTTCTGATATATGGGATCGTCGGCAGAGTTGCGCGCGATGCTATCCGATAGGTTGTCGTCGATCAGTCGCACAAACATGGTATCAGGGAGGAGGATGCAATTTTCATTATCATCCTTTCCGAGCGAATGGTCCGGGCGTCGTGATAGTGCATTGGGGGCAGCCAATTTGGTACCCGCAACGTGGTGTAATTCTAACTGGTAGCTTGATAGAATAAGCTGCCAACGCGCCTGTCGTCTTGTCAATTTCTGAGTGGAGCGGAAGTATAGGAGATTCATGTGATCCGTGAACACTATCACGGTGTGGGGGCTTCCTTCGAGGTAGTGGCGCCATTCCGAGAGCGCTCGGATGACTGCTAGTAACTCTCTATCAAATATTTCATAGTTTCGTTCTGCGGGGTTGAGTGATTGAGACAAGTATCCGCATGGATGGTACATCCCATTTTCATCAGTTTGTAACAATACTGCTCCGGTTGCTGCAAGCGATGCATCAGTAGCAATTGCGAATTGTCGCGTTGGGTCAGGATTTCGTAGCACAGGTTGCGATAAGAAGGCGTTTTTTAGGCGGTTGAAAGAGTTCTGGCAGTCGTCGGTCCATAAGAAAGGGTGGTCCTTTTTTGTGAGGTCAATGAGGGGTTGGGCGATATCGGAGTAATGAGCGACAAATGCTCGGTAGAAATTGCAGAATCCTAAGAATGACCGCGTATCTTTCAAGTTTTCTGGAGTTGGCCAGTGTTTGATTCCGTCTACTTTGGCAGGTTCCATGCCCACTTCTCCGGGTCGGATTATCATTCCTAGATACTCTACTTCTTTTGCGTCAAAAGTGCATTTTTCTGGTTTGACAAACAGCTTTTCTCTCCAAAGGATGTCGAGAATTTCGATTGTGCGTGCCCGATGTTGCTGAAGATCTTTCGAGAAGATTAAAAGATCGTCCATATAAATGACCAACCACCCTTCGTTTATCTGTTGCTGACAAAGGTTTGCCATAAACGCCTGGAACGTCGCTGGGGAGTTCGTCAGTCCGAAGAACATGACCGTTGGTTTGAACAGCCCTTCTTGTGTAGTGAACGCCGCTTTCCAGCGATCCTCAGGGTGGATTCTGACGTTATTGTATCCTGATCTAATGTCGATCTTTGTGAAGTACTTGGCATCGTAGAGTCGTTCGATGAGAGATTTCGGCAAGGGGAGAGCCCCTTCAGTGACAAATTCCGTATTATACGGGCCACCCGACCTACATAATATCCCGTATGAGACGGGCCAGCGGATTATGGGCCCATGTTGTGTATATTCTCGATGATGACGGATGGGCCAGGACTGTTAAGAACGTGCTCAAGGGTCGGATCCGAAGGGCTTGGCTTCAGCTCGTGCGCTGCGCCCCTTACCCGAGTACGTGCCCCTAACTTCCGAGGGTTGTTGAACGATGTCCGAAGGTTACCGGACGATGTCCGGAGGGCGTCGGGCAATGTCCGGAGTCCGATGTCCGATGCGCGGGAATTCCGGCGGACGTTCGGAAACAAGAGATAAGACTAATCTGGACGAAGTCCGAACTAGAAAGGAAACAGCGGAGGACTACCAGAGGTAGAGGCGGAGGTGTCAAGTCTATAGGAGTCGATCCTAAGACGAGCGGAGGTCGACGAGAGAGAAACTCAAGTCGGACGGAGGAGAGAATGAGCAGAGTCTAATATGATATTCGAACTGAGGAAACTACAGAGATTGTACAGGGGTTTATATACTACTGAGGACATAACGGAGAATAGTAAGTGCAGTGCGAAGCTATGTAAAGCTATGAAGAAAACATATGGTACGACTATCACTAGTCTATCGGAACTTAGTAAAATGAAGACGGAGATGAATGAGGAACGGAAAATAAAGCGTACTAACTGATAAGGGAAATACCAAAGGGATAAGGCGCGGAAGTTAGACGCGGGTCGGATCCGGACGATACATAGAAGTCGGCCGGATCCGGAAATCCGGAAATGATGAGTGTGATAGGTCCGGGTCCGGAACGCGGGATATGACAGTATCCCCCCTTTAGGGCCGAGCCCACGAGGCTTCTGATTCGGAAGTCCGGACCGGACTTTTATGAATGCGAGATGATGGGCGGAGCTCGTAAAAATAGCACTGAGCATATAAGTAGGCCGGGGCGCCCATGAGAC